CCAGTCAAGGGGGTGACTTTTTGGCCCTTACCTCCCATATCAGTGGAGGGTTCAGTTCTGCTCCGTATGTAACTACCAGGCACCTCAGGACCCAGCCCCCTTTGGCAAGTCTTCCCTGGTCCCACCCAGCCCCTCCCAGGGGACCAACTGCCTCCTCAGGCCACCAGGGGCAACAGTGCTGACTTGTGCCATCTGTGTCCCCCATGCCCATGCATGGACTCTGCAACACTAGCAGCAGTAGCAGCCTCCTGACTCAGCCTTTCCAGCCCAGGACCTTCTGTAGGAGGCAGTCAGGATACAAATGGCAGTGGTCACATTTCCATCACACTTGCATGCAGGGCCTTGTCCTAGTGTGCACAGAGATTACCTCAGGCCATATTGACAGCCCTTTCCAGTCTTCACTAAAGTCCAGGAAGTTTATATTTGTAATAACATGGGAAAGTTATTGAAATTCCAATAAATCAACTCCAATCTACCACTTCCAGTGCAACCTATGATGAGAATAAAGACACTAAGGCATATTTGTAGTTGTGAGGAGCCAAGTGGGTCCTAAGTCCAGCTAGGGTGATGGCTAACTGGAACAAAGGCCTCCACTCTGAGCTGAATCCAGGTTTTATTAATTCATGAAGAGAGGAGTGGCTTGGGGAAGAGTGACTGCAGTTGTGTTGGAAAGTATGTGAGTACCATGAGCTGGGCTAGGTAGGAGGCCTGAGATCACCTGTGCAATACGCAGACAGAAGGATATGCAGAAAGAGTAACCTGCATAACACACTTCAAGGTAGTATCTAATGTTTTTGGGTCAGTACTTCAGCTCTGTGTAATTTTTTATGCCCTGGGAAGTCATGTTCTCTTATCTCAAGGCTCATTCTTAGCCAACAGTGTGGAGCATGGCTCTCTTTTCTGCCTGGCTCACATTTGCTTTTCAGGAGCTACAGGAAAGGGCAACACTGACCTGTGGCCTTGCTTCAAAGACCACATATCAGCACCCGGCTACAACGATTCACATTGCTTAAAACCAATTGAGGGGATAAGGAAAAGTCCTAGCCAGCTCTGCACACATCATTACATGGAAATAAGGCCAGGTTTAGCCAAAATGGAGATAATTGATCTTCTCTCAAGGACAGTCATCTGGGTGGTCCTCCACAGGTCCATTCATACAATATTCTGAGATCATGGAATTCTTAGCTTCATTTGTAAATGAGGAAACAGAGACACAGTGTAGTTAAGTCACATCCCCATGGTCACACCTATAAGTCAAAGGTACTGCTTCCCAGCCTTGCTGTTCAGTGGATTCTCATTGTAGTAAAATGCAAGCTCCCTTCACAGTCCACAAAGCTCTACACCAGTCATTTCCAACCCGGACTGCAGAGTGCAGTCATCCAGAACATCACTTCTGCCTAAGCAGATATCCAGGCTGACAGTCTCCATGGCTGAGCAGGGAGAGGGGGACAGGGGGAGAGGGGGAGAAGTATCATGGACCTGCCTTTCTTTCTTTTCTTTTCTTTTCTTTCTTTCTTTCTTTCTTTCTTTCTTTCTTTCTTTCTTTCTTTCTTGCCTTCCTTCCTCTGTTCTTTCTTTTTCTGTGGCTCTAGGGAATGAACCTAGGACCTTCACACTGTGCTACCACTTTTTCTTGTTTTGTAGTTTGATATAGGGCCTAACTCACTAAATTGCCCAGACTGGGTTCAAATTTGGGACTCTCAGGTCTCAGCCCACAGAGTATTGCTATTACAAATACATGTGCCTCTGCACCTGGCTTTAACTTTTATAAGCCCTATGGGGGATCTGAATGTGTAGTCAGGGTGCAGAAGGCCAGCTCATGTGATCAGGCCTGCAGCCACATCCAACACTTCCTACCCTCACTCTGTACCTTGCAGTACAGCTCTTGATAGGCTCCTCTGTTTGAGTTCAGAACTGGGCCTTTCTATTTAAATGTGAAGAGGGGTAAGCTGGCAGGAGCCATTTTTAGGTCTAGGCAGGTGTACCAGCAAATTGTGGGTGGAAGAAGACTGAGGCATTGTATATGGAGGGCAATTACAGGAGCTCAGAGATCTTGAGCTAGTTTTATAGGCAGGAGAGGTGTGTTTCAGCAGTTTGACAGTCTATAAACCTTTTACAGTTTTGAAGCCTCATTTTTTTTCTTTTTTGGGGGACCACAACAGAGCTGGAAGGGACAGAGAAACAGACTGTCCTGAAGCCAAATCTGTTGTTAGGGCCTTCCCAAACATAGTGGGAGAATTCCTAAACCCTTATGGCATTGAGTAACAGTTCAAAAAGGGTGTATGGTTTAGGAACTGCAGAATGCAAGGTGATGGCTGCGTTGTTGATGGTACGGAGATCTTGCCCCAGGTGATTAATAGTCTATCAGGCTGATGTGTGGCTGAGTGCCTATTTGTGCTTTCTGTGACATCTTACAGCAATGGGTGTCATGGTGAGGCAGCATGGTTGATGGTCAGGCCCAGAGGTGAGTTTTCAGTTTATACCTCTGGGAAGAGAGCTTTCAGAACTTCAGGATTGCAGTTATCTATCTCAGGCTAATACAGGTGTCATTTTCCTCTCAGGGACCAGTGTAAGTTGAAAGTGCAGGGTTAAATAAGAGGGAGGCTGATTGGCTTGGTGCAAAGGAGATGGTTGCTTCTAGCTTGAAAAGGTGGTCTTTCGCAGAAGTGGTATGGCTACTGGCTTCTATAGGAATTCATGTTTGGTGAGATGTCCTCCCAGTCTGCAAGTTTGTGCCTGGCAGAGGGGTGAGAAGCTAGAGTCCCAGTTGCCCTGGTGTTATGGTTGATACACTGTGTCAACTTGAGAAGTTTAGAAGTTTAATTAAGTGACCCAGCAGGGGCCCAGGGTCCTCACTTTGTAAACATCCTGAGCCTGTGCATGAGGAAATCACAGAGATGATGTGGCAGGGTAGCTTGTGTATAGTATAAGGGAGGAAAAGAGACTTGCCCTCTCCTACCTTTTGCTCTTGTTGTTTTGCTGTATTCTGCTGCCTTGGACTGTTGCCCCTGTACGATGCCACCTTGCCTTTGAGCCAGCAGATTATTGACTGAAACCTCCACAAACTGAGAGCTAAGTAAATCTTTCTTCCTTAACTTTGAGTTGGGTATTTTGTCTCAGCACTGAGAGAAAAAATTTTTGACAGAGGGAACTTCTGAAGGCAGGGTGTTTGTTCCACTGTCTACTAGGAAAGTCACAGGCTTGCCCCTGACTTTTACAATGACTGTGGGCTCTAGCGGGGTCCAGTTTTTGTTTTCTTTTTGTTGTTTGTTTTGCTTTTTTGGTACCGGGAACCAAACTCAGGACCTTGCGCTTGCCAGGCAGGCGCTTGTACCACTGAGCTATATCCCTGGCCTGGGCAACCCAATCTGGTAGAGCTCAGTCTGTCCTATCAGTCTAGACCTGACAGGGCAAGGAGGGTTCAGACTGAGGTGGGCCTGGACAATCAGGTTTCTTTATATCTTGCAGATGGAAGGAGCATTTATTTTTGTGTTCATAGCTCTTATAACTTGTAGCCAGAGGGTATGGTCATCTATCAGACTGGATTTTCTTAGGGATATCAGGTGTTTTTCTTTCATCAGGTTTCTGAGTAATAGTAGCTGATGAGCTTTTTGTCCCCCCTTTGATGTCTTTGAGAAGAGCTTGACTGATTTTAGGTTTCTAGGCAGAGCAACCTTTGGGAAAGGCCGTGACAACTGATTTGTCAGGGCTGACAGTCTGATTTTTCCTCAGTCAGAATGTTGAACATAGAAGGAATTACTGACAGTCATCTCAGGTGTGTACTAGATGACGCCATCTGACCAGGATAGGAAGTAGAAGGCCGTGAAGGGAGGTCCTCCGTGCTGAATGTAGACAACAGCTAGCTGGAAGTGGGTAAGCTGGGAGCAGGGAAGTGAAGCTATAGGCACTGGCAGCAGCTGCGGTGGCTGAGAAGGGTGCCAAGGTGGAATTCTCAGGAAGAATGGACCTCTTCTTACCTTTTATGTTTGGAGATGCAGGGAGCAGGTTGGTTTCATTTTTAACTCTGTAATCTCAGAAAAGGCCTTTTACTGTTACGTATAAACAACAGAAGGGTTCTCACCGTTCAGAGGCCAGGAAGTGCGATACCAAGGCGGCAGCACCTGGCCAGGCTGTCCTGCTGCCTCAGTCATGAGGAAAGTGCAAAGCAGAAGGGCAGGGAAGGACACGAGTGGCAGCATAGGTCCACCTTGAGGCCTGGTGCCCTTCGGTCATCTGCATTAATCCAGTCCTGAGACCTGAGGCGTTATGGCCTCCACACCTACAGTCCAGCCACACCAGCATGGGTGTACTGGGAACCAGGTCTGCAACATCTGCTATTCAAAACAATAGCAACACTTAACAGCTCCCAGCAACTTGCAGACCCGGCCTCTCCTCGCCTACAGCCGAGACCTGACTGACCTCAGGTAACCTTATTGTCTCAGCTCCCGCACCAGCGCCAGCCTACCCTGCTCTTTCTGTGAAAGCCAGTGATTTCCCTTACCTTTGTGCTAAAGCCAATTAAAGTCATTTGTTTCTAGTGTTCCTTCCCATCACCTTCCTGGAGGATTGCACCCAGAACTTCTCTCCCCACCCTGCAGCCCCAGGAAAAGGAAAGAAAGATAAATTCACAGAGGGGGATTGAAAGTTCCTGGAGCACACTTTACTCCAGAATAAAAGTCTCCAGTTTAGGGCTTTTCTTGCAAAATGGTTCTTTATGTGATCATGTTTTTGAATGAGAAATAGAAGTTTTAAAAGGAAGAAATACTTTCTGGAGAGCCGAAGTATTCTCAAGTCGTCCAGGTTAGCACACGTGTGCTATGTGACCTTGGCCATATCCCTTGTACTCTCTGGGCCTCATTTATCTGTGTGTACAAGGGCAGAAGCAGCCTCCCCACCACTGCCCCTGCCTAGGCCGGGCACCCTCCCCAGCCCGTGGTTTCCTGTGCCCTGGGATGGAGTGTGCTTAGGAAGCACAGCACACACTTCTAGGCAATGCCTTCTGCAAACTTGCTGCCATGTCACTTTGCAAATGGGATTCGGTCTCTGGGTGGTGCACAGGGGACGAAAGGAAAGAAAGGTCACAGAGCTGGGGATGCCCATTTCCCTCTGCCCGAGCCTCACCCACAGCCCTCACCTCAGTTCCTACCTACCTTTCTCTTTCTCCAGAGCTGCTTCCTTCCCTGGGCTCCTCCTTGTTGAATAGCTGCCAAAGTGCTTTGGTTTCATTTCCTGGAAAAGTCCAGCCCCGAGCAGAGACGGCCCAGTTGAACGAAAGGCAGCGGTGGCCACAGAGGCCGTGGCAAGATGGCTTGTTTTGGCCCCCAACCACCCTACATGAGCCCGGTGAGTTCACAGCTGGCTTGATCTGAGCTGGCTGCACAGCCCGGGGAAGCAGCGGTGGGTCTCTGAGGAGAGGGCTGGGTGGCAGGGGCTGGTGGTAGGGGAAGCCAAGAGACCCAGAGGAGGGTGGAGATGCCAGAGGAGCTCATCCCAATGCAGCTCTTTTTCCATGGTAATCTCATCCATGGAAACCTCCCACATGGACGGATGTTAATCACTGCAATTTTCATGTCTGACACTGGCTAACTGTGCCGATTCTGGGTGCCTGCCCCACCCCCATCAGTGTTGAAGGCAGGCCTACTACAATCTAGAAGGGTGACAGTTTGTATGGAGAGGACATAAGCAAGCAGTCTTTTGGGAAGAAAGCAACCCACATGCGTAGCACTTGTGGCCTCTTCTCTGGATGGCTTCCAGTGTTGGGCCATTTGCTAGCTGAGCAGCTGCAGGCAGGGTACTTTCCCCTCTCTGGGCCTCAGTTTCCATATCTATAAGATGGGCATAATACTCAAGCTTACCCCTGAGGCCAGGCTAGGGATCGTGTGAGGTAGCTTGTCTAGCATGTTTGAGTGGTATCTGGCACACGGTCGGTGCTCCAGGAGTGTTGAGCGTTATGAGGAATTGGGCGGCGGCAGGGAAGGCCTCTGAGGAGGTGTCTGAGCCCTGAAGGGTGAGTCAGAGTTCACAAGGCAAAGGTGCACCCTGACTGCCTGCGGAGGGCTGTCTCCAAAATGAGGCTGGGAGCGGGGCTGTCCCTGCAGGGGGAGGTATAACGGCCTCACTGGGTGACCCACTGGTCTCTGGCAGCCAGGGCCACACTTTCTCCCAAATGTCACCTATGCTGGAGTTCATCCAACTGCCGCAATGCTGAGGAATTACACCTGCCAAGAGGGCGTGGCTTTGGCACCTGGCTCCCTGTCCTACCTGGGTGGGCCAGGAATAAGAACGTCCTGTGTTGGGTCATGAGGCTGTCTGTGTGGGATTGAAAGCACGAGTTCAGGGGTTCAAGTCCCATCTCTGTCACTGAGCAGCTGTGTAGCTTTGGGCGAGTTATGAGCCTTCCTGTACTGCAGTTTCCTCATCTGGAAAAGTGGCGGTGACAGTGGCAAAAGTTGTTCTGAGGATAAAGGAGAGAACACAGGCATAAAACGTTGGCCACTAGCAGGGCCTCGGAACTTTCAGAGCAGCAGGGCCCTTTGGCTAAAAGCCGTGCACTGGGGGCAGCCTTGGCGCCCAAGCTGAGGTCCCCACTGCCAGTTCCTGGACAAGGTGCCCTCCAGTGACACTGGGCCACCAGAAAGCTGCTGTACTCTGGCCTGAAGGGTCAGCCCTACTTACTGACCTCTAGATAGGAAGGGGAGAAAAATGTCCCAGCCTTCAGCCATAACCAGGAGCAGGGAACAAGCTCTGAGCCAGCGGGGGACTGGTTTGTGCTGATGCAAACAGCTGCAGTATTGAGGGTGAGCTCCAGACAGGGGCTTTCCACTAATAATACTGTCAGGAGGCATTGTTGTCTCACTGGCCAGAGCAAACACTATGCCTTGTCCAATACCAGTACTGCTAGCACAAGGAGCGGTCACAGGAGCCAATTCCTGTGGAACCATAAATCCAGGACAAAACCCCACCTCTTGTGTGCAGGGAGCCAAAGCAGGTCCCCTTGTTTTCTGCTGAGATCCCTCACTGGCCCTCACACCTCCAAATGCCATGGCAGCCTTTTTAAGGCAGGCTTAAAACCGTCCGTTATCTTATAGTTCTGAAGGTCAGAAGTCTCAAACCCAAGCGTTCAAAGGCTGGGTTGTAGCTCAGCGGCAAAGCAGGTGCCTAGAAGTTCCCGAGTTTGAACCCTCACACCATAAGGAAAGGTGTCAGAAAGTCTGTTTCCATCCCGAGCCTTCGGGAAAGTCCCTGTCCTTGCCTTTCTACCTTTGTGAGGCTCCTGCATGCCTTGGCTTTCACGTGCCCCGCTGTCACTAAAGCCAGCAGCCTCAGGGCTGGGTGTGTAGCTCATGGTAGAACACCTACTTAGCATGGGCTGGGCCCAGGACTTGATCCCCAACACCACAGAAAATAACAATAAGAAATTTTAAAATAGCAGCTTCTTCCTTCTGCTTTCACACCTGCTACTTGTGACCCTGACCTTCCCACCTGCCTCTTACAAGGGCCATTGTGATTACCCAGAACACACCTGGCCCTCAGTGCAGCAACCTGGGGCCCATCTCGCCAGCTCCAGATTCTTAATCACATCTGCGAAGACCCTCCGGCCACGTATGTAGCACACTCACAGGTTCCGGGGATTAGGGTGGACTTTTTCAGGCACAGGTGGGGCGTCATTCAGCCTCCAGCCTAGTACTTGGAGTCAGCCAGGATAATCAGGTTCTGGTCAATTCTTCTAGAGATAGTTTATCTGTAAGTGAGCAAATGCATGTGTACAGCCCCCTCCACCCATTTTGTATACAAATGGCATCACACCATATCAGTACTCTGTGTGCCTTTTTTCCTCCTTTTGTTTTTTGCTGGGCTGAGGATCGAACCCAGATCTCATTCATGCCAGGCAAGTGCTCTCCCTTTTCCTTTAAAGGCTACACTGACTCTGTTGTACAGAAATAAAATAATTTATTATTTCACCTTTTTCCTACTGATAGACTTTTAGGCTTTTTCCTTTTTGATCAGAGATTAATCTATACAGTCCCATCCCCTTAATCTGCCCTCATCCATCCTTCCTCCAGTCCCAGATTTCTTCAGCAATGCCGTCTTTGCACTATGGACCCGAACCCATCACACCCTGCTTTCCGTTCCTCATACCTCCTTGTGTGCCTGCCTCAGGGAAAGCTGCAGGCTTCCCAGCAGTGTACATATTTGAACCACGGTCTATTGGGACAGTACAAAAGGCTCTAATGATGTCTTGGTTACTTTTTTCTTATTGCTGAGACAAAATACCCAATGCCCAAAATGAAAGAAGGAAAGGTTTATTTGGCTCACAGTTTGTGGAGGTTTCAGTCCATACTTGGCTGGCTCCGAGGCAAAAGGTAGCAAAGCAACAAGAGCAAAGGGGGGAATGGCAGCCGAACAGCAAAGCAGCCAGAGCAGAAAGGGAGGAATGGCGGCAAGCAGCTTTTTTCCCTGCCTTACTTTGTAAACAGGCTACCCCCACCTAAGGGGCGTGTAGCTCTCATATAATCTCCATGCCCTCCGCTTCCACAGGCTCAGGATGTATACAAAGTAAGCACTCTGGCTTCCTGCTAAGTTACTTAGCCAAACCTCTAGACTCCCCAAGTTGACACAATGTATCAACCATAACAAATGAGGATTTCATAATTTCCCACCACTCCCTGGTGTGTCTTACCTGGCTGTCTCACTGCTACATGTTACCTGCTTGGCTCCCTTAGCCATTTTTTCATTTATTATTTCCTTGTGTAGTACTGGAGATTGAACACGTGCTAGACAAGTGCTCTATCATGGACCTACATGCCCAGCCCAGCATTTAATTTGTGTAGGGAACTGCCCAATGGAGATGTGAGAGAAAACGTGAACTCCGAGAACAGTGTGAGAATCGGCTAGGAGACAGAATTGCGATTTAATGCTAGTTGCAGAGCCACCCTGTTTAAAAGGTGTTGCAGAAGTTAAGCTTTGAAATCCAGGAAGTGACCAATTTGGGAATTTTGCTTAGAGAGAACAAGGCCAGGTGGGGATGAGAGTAGCAGAGAGGCACCTACTATGTGCCAGTCTTTTCCACAGACTTCCTGTCAGTTACTGAAAAGGTGATTGAACAAGAGGGTTATCCCTACTGTAGAGAGCAGAAAACTGGAGCAAAGACAGACTACGGAAGCTTGCCAGGGCCACTCGGGTAGTGAACAGCAGAGGGGGGATTCAAACTCAGAGTCGGCCTGACTCTGAAACAGTGCAAGCCAGCGTGACCCACGTGATGCTCTTTCAAGGAGGCCGGGAAAGAGACCTGCTAGAGGGGCTGCTGATGGGGTCCAGGATGGCGGGGAGATACTGCCTGGGGGGGCTGGCCTGAGAGAAGGACCTGGAACTGGGGGACAGGAGCAGGAACAAGCAAGGGCCAACCAACTGATGTCCCTACATCTTCTCCCTGAAGGCCGTTCCTTTTTCCGGAGTGATCCAAGGAGGTCTCCAGGAGGGACTTCAGATCACTGTCCAAGGGACCATTCTTCACTCCAGCATAAACAGGTACACAGCCGGCACCCTTGTTTCCCCCAGAATGTTGCTTAGTAACTGCCAAGCCCCCAGGTCACTCAGTCTGAGGAGGAAAGCAGGTGGCCCGGGGGCCCTGCAGTGCGACAGGGTTGAACTTTATACACTATGACAGAGTTGCCTGGTGACAGGGTTGAACTCTGCACACTATGACGGAGAGTTGCCTGGCCAGCTAATGTTTATTTCTGCACTGTCATTGTAGGTATGTTCCCATCAGTTTCACATCATCTTTAAATTTGTTCTTTTGTTTCCCAGCTGAGCAGGCGGGGGCTGGATTGCAGCCTCACAGGCCTCCAATCAGTGTTCACATGGCCCTGAAGGCCGTCTCTCTCGTAGGCAGGCTTCACAGCTTCCACCTTTTATAGCAACTTGTAATTGTTTCCCGGGTCCTCTGCTTCTTGTTGCTAGCGCTAGCACTTTTCTGACCTATTTTTCACTTACTTTTATTTATTTTTTTTCAAATGTACAAAACAATTTATTTTTCTTGGCAATTTAAAAATACATAACAATTTAAAAGGAATACACGTTGAGTGTTTTATCCTTACTATACAATTGTGATTAGAAGGAAGTGCTCCATTCAGTTAAAATCTAATGAATACCATCAATGTTCCTGGCTTATTTTTCTGATCAGAATTAGTAAATAAACATAATTTTGCCACCCCATGAACGGTGCTTAGAAAATTACAGTATCATAGTTCACATAAGACCCTTTAAAAATGTCACGTCACAAGTTGTCTAAGTTAACGGTAAATAATGCCAGCAGTTTTCTTAGGAAACATCTCTTGGTTGAGGGATTCAATACTACACAGGTTATGTAAACAGAGGAAACAGCCATAATTTTTAGTTCCAGTACTGTTGCCAACTTGCATGAAGTTTACCTGTCATATTTTAAAATGGCTTGAATTTGAACATATATACCATGGCACAGAATTTTTAATTTCATGATTAAATCAGGTAAGTGATGGTAATTAAAGATTATATGCTGAACCTTACATAATGGAACCTTACATAAGGAACCTTACATAATGCTTTAAAGTATAACTGTAAAACTGTTCTTAAAAACATACATAGTAGACTTTTATTTATCAAATTCAATTTTTCTTTGCTAGACTCTTCAACCAGTAATGCTGTTATTCAAATTCACGCTCTGGAATTTCTGAGCTAGTTGGAAAAATTAACACTTCAAATGGTCAAAAACTGGCCCTGTTTAAACGACTATTACTATTCTAAATAAGTTTTCCTCCCAAAATCAACTATATTCCTAGAGGGAAAAATAACAACAAGTATATTTTAAAAAGGAATGAAGATTCAAACATGGGTTTGAAAATAGGAGTTCTACAAATATTTCCCATAATAGCTGTGTCACTAGAATTAGTGTGAAGCCTTAACTTCACCCTTTTGAGAATATAACACTCACTCGGTGTGTATGTTAAGACAAATTAGTTTTATAGACCTATCTTGTAACTCTTAAAGTCTCAGAAAACAACTAAGTGACAAGCTTTGAGTGCCAGCAAAGCCACTTTGTCCCTCCATGATATCAACATTAAACATTATATTCCATCCTTCTACTAGTAAAACTTTCACATTTTCTTTTCTCATATTTCTTTTAAGTACATTTTCCCTCTTAGTCTATATTCAAAACAAGCAAAGTGCATTCAAGTCCCTCATCTAGATATTTTCTGTTTGCGGCACTCATCACCATAAAAATACAATAGCAACATCTCACAGTACCAAGTCTCTTTTTAAAAATGGACTGCTTAAATGTTGGGTCTTACTTTTCATGCCATCTAAAGATTAAAAGATTTCTGCTTGGATTGGATAGTACAATTTCAATTATATATTGCCTTTTAAGATGATCAATGCAAACTTATAAAAGATTAACTCACCTTTCAGACTACCTTCATTTTTCTAAACTGAACTACTCAGAAAATGACATTAGTGAAAAATTTCTTTTTCTACTTCCCAGTTCCAAGAATATGAATATAAACACAGTGTGTTATACTTTCAAACACCACTGCTGTGGTCTAACAGTCAAATTTTAAATCCTGTTTAAAATCCTTTTAGTTTTATTTTGCTTTTGAGAGGTGTGGCCCATTTCCACACAAAAGGAGGCGTGTATGAAGACTTCAGATTGACTGTTTAACATAGAAAAACACTTTTGAGAACAATTTATGCAAGAAATTCTTTTTAAAAACCTGGAATGGAATAATTTGGCCCTATTAATTCCTTTAAATTTTACTTATGGCGTAACTTTTTACCTCCCAAGTTTTGTCTACAATAATAAATATTTCTCTTAAAGTGATGAGAAATAATTTTTATTATGGAATCTAAGTTTGGGGAAGAAGCAAATGATTTAAAACAGTATTTTTGCTTACTTTTTAAGAAAATCTCACTGGAGGCGCAAAATACAATAAGTGCGCAAAAACAGATTAGGTTCAAGTTAAGTGGGCAGAAAGGAGGTCATCCAGTGATTCGCTGCCACACAAGTTCTACGTGAAGTAAGCGCATGCACCAGGCCTCTCCTTTCGGGTCGCTGGCACTAACCCGCGCTACGGAAGACAATCTGATTTCCCTCTGCCTAGATTCAGTGTGAACTTCCAAACTGGCTTCAGTGACAACGACATTGCTTTCCACTTCAACCCACGGTTTGAAGATGGGGGCTATGTTGTCTGCAACACAAAGCAAAAAGGAAACTGGGGGCCAGAGGAGAGGAAGATACAAATGCCTTTCCAGAAGGGGAAGGCCTTTGAGCTCTGCTTCCTGGTGCAGAGATCACAGTTCAAGGTGAGCAGGAATACCCTCCCTTCCCCTCTCCAAGCTGCCTTCAGTCCTATCAGGCTTGGTGAAAGGTCTTTAAATGAGCACATTCATTGAGATCAGGCCAAAGCAACCCAGCTGCACAGACAACAAGGCTGTTGCCTGGTAAGTGTGTCGCTCGTGGCCACAAAGCCTCTTTAAGCGCTTTCCTTTGCATACAGGTGCTCTTGCTGCTGCTTTTGCTGTGCATATAAGGACTAGATGCATCACCATCTTGCTTTTGGCCCTTGTATGTCTTTAAAGCTCAGGTTATTTCCGTTCCTATTCTGTAGCCACCCATCTGCTGTGGGTCCCTGGTAACATCTCATCTTTGGAAAAATTATTCTAGTCCTTTTCCAGCTTCTACTAAGGGTGTGGTTTCAAAAGCCACTGCAGATTACCTTTGCAGGCACAGTAGTGTCTCCAGGCTTGGGGACCAGGGTGGGATATGTCCTCTTCCAGCCTTATGTGTGTGACATGTATTTCCCAGTGTAAAACGAAAGGGTGTCCCTCCTCTGCTCCCCATGAGCATTTTATCCATATTGAAATATTATCCAGGTGAGCTACGATTAGAAAGACAGACCTACTGTAATGAACAAACAGCCCTAGGAACTAAAAGCCAACAACTGGAACCAAGTGGAGATTCAGACTGGGTGCACCATGATGCATATACCCATTCCTGTCACAGGCCCAGTGCTGACGTGGACAGGGGCTCAGGTCTTCATTCTGAGAAGCAGGGAGCAGGGTGTGCTCTGCCCTGGCTGGGACTCCTCCCCAATACATGGTCCTTTGGCAGGTGATGGTGAACAAGAGAGTCTTCGTGCAGTACCCACACCGAGTGCCCTTCCACCTTGCAGACACCATCTCCGTCGCTGGCCCTTTGCAGCTGTCCTACATCAGCTTCCAGGTCAGACCAAACACCTGTGTTGTGCCGGGGCTGGAGTGCAGGGCCCAGCCTGCCTGTGCCTAGGCCCTGCTGGAGGGGCATAAAGGTTCCAGCTGATCTCCTCCCTCGGTGGCTTTGGGATCAGACTGGTTCCTCTGTCCTGGTGACTGACTGCCCTCCTGCTCTTCTGTACCTCCCCCTTCTGTTGCTATCTCTATCCAGAATATTTGTTTTGGTCTCTTGGGCCCCTTAGCCACTACTCTCTGTCCCCCTCTATTTCTACCCCTAGTTAAAGGTCAAGTGGTTCCAGAAAGAACCCAAGCTTGGGAATCAAATGAAATCCAGTTCAGATTCCCAAATCTGCCATTCTCACCATCTGTGGGATCTTCAAGGGACAACTTCACCTTTCCGGCCTTGGTTTTGTCATCTGCAGAGTGGGCACAGTTGTTGCCACTGAGTTGTGTGGTTCCACCATACAGTGTGTACCAGATGACACAACACAGTCCCCAGGGCCCTCCCCAGGGCCCACCCCAGAGCTTGTTGAACCCTCTCTGTGTTTTACAATTTTTAATGTGTTGCCAATATCCAAAAGGTGTGGAGATGTCATGAGAAAAACAGGATGAGTGGGGCACACTGACCTGCAGTAGGGTCTCAGCAAACACGAACGCCTCTCCCTGTGAGGCTCGTTCCTCCCTTCCCAACCCTCCCCTGCAGGAGTGGGGGTGGGGGGAACCCTGCCCCCCCTGCCTTCACTCCCTGGGCCTAACTAACCTCTGCTTGGGCCACTCAGCATGCGCCCCACCTGTGCCTGTCCACCCAACCCCCTGCCCCTGCCCAGCGCTGCCCTCCGCTCCTCCTGGGCTCTGCTCCTCTGTTACCTGGGTGCCTTTTGCTTTAACAGAGCTTCCACGTGCAGCCTGCCTTCTCGGCGCCGCAGTTCTCCCAGCCTGCCCACTTCCCACAGAAGCCCAGGGGCCGCAGACCGAAAGTGAGTTCAACACGGGCCTGGGAGGCTGAGCATAGAGCAGGAAGGACAGAGGGACGGGAGTCTGGTCCAGCCAGCATCATACCCACGGAGGGGTTCCCTGTCTGCACCCGCTAGGCCCCCAGAAGCTGGGGACCTGAGGGCTGCCCTGGACCCCTCCGCACCCCTTCGTGTTCCCTAGTGCATCAGTGTCTCCCCCTCCCTGGAACCCCTGCTGTGGTCCAGGCTACCTTGACTCCTCACCACGACATCCATGGCACACTTCCTCCTTCCCCTTCGCAGTGACCTTCCTGGAACGCATTGCATCGTATCTTCTCCCTGCTGAAACATCTTTAGAGCCCCAATAAAGCTCCAACTCCCCAGCAGGACGTTTGTCCTCAGCTCCTCCCAGCTCACCTCCCAGCCTCACTGCCCTGAACAAAGCTCACGCAGCTGCACCACCCACTCCAGGCCCTCTCAGGCCACCACACTTTGCTACCCTTCATCCACCCCGCCCTCAGCAGACTTCTAACCACACTGCACTTCTCTGCTGAATGTCACTGCTCTGGAGAGTGTTCCTGCCTCGGAGACTGCCTCCATGCCAGAAGCCATTCGAGCCCTGTGCTTGGCACACCAGGAGGCCTTGGGCCTTCGGGAAATGCTGGTGTGTGGAATAGAGCTCTGGAAGTAGTGCTCTTGCCTCTAAGGGCTCAGGAAGCAAGATGGTCAGGCCTGTCCTTTCTCCTAACCCCGGATCACCCTATGCTTAAAGGGTTCAAATGAAGGGTTCCCTAGGCTCAGGAAGGGTTGCTTGGGAAAGGAAATAGACCAGTGTGTCTGAGGAGACATTTCTAACCACAAGAACTCCACCTGGAGCTCGGCAGTTGTGGTTATCCTGTGTGGCATTAGCAATAACCTGCTGTGTTGATTCTTCTCATTGCTTTCAGCCTCAGGGCATTTGGCCTGCCTACCCGGGTCTGGTGGTAAGTCTCTTGCTCTTGTCTCTGGGCTTTTTTCACTGCAAATCCTCCTGTGGGTTATGACCCCCATATTCATGACAGGGTCGCAACCCCTGTCTTAGTGCCAGGCGGCTCACACACGACTGCGCCACCGGATGGTACAAGTCACCCAGTGGAACAGCCATGCGCACAGAGGCAGAAGCCCCGGGCTCTCCATGGGGTGGAGTAGCAAGGTCCTCCCCGACTGCCTGGCCTCGTGATGGAGCGGGGAGTGAGGGTGTGTTTGGCTGGCCGGCCCCAGGGAAGCAGGAAATCACCTGAGTGGCGCAAGCTCCTGCCATTCTGCAGGCAGCCGCAAGACAAGGAGGCTATGCGTTCTCCTTTCCAGCCTTCAGAGATGGAGCTGTGGGGAGAGAAATTTCCCTGAGGGGAAACATGGGCCAGAGGCCGGACACTGCCCTCTTTCTTCTCTGGAACTCTAGCCTTTGCCCCTCCCTCACCCACTTGAGTGAAGAAAACACCTCCGCCCACCCCTAGCTTGCTCACTGCGTGTCAGGATCTGGCAGGCAAATTGCTGCCCGGAGATTAAAGCTCGTTATCGAGAAGTGTGTGCTATGTGGCGCCCTCTGGTGACAGGTGGTGGTCTTCGCGCTGGTGAGAGCTTTGTAAAACCTAGTTTCCTCTTCCAGATTCAACCCCCCATGCACGGTGCCCCTGGACCGGTGTTCTCTGTACGTCTGAAAATTCTGGAACACTCACAACGTCGTGTCTTGCTTCTTCAACCAGAAGAGAATTCCCTCAAGTCCCAGAGTTAGGAAGAAAGTGGCTTAGCAAGGAGGATAGGGACAGTTGGGGCTGGACCTTCCACAGAAGATGTGCAGCTACAGCTCTCCTTGGGACAGCAGGGATTCTAGAACAGTCATCAGAGACGTATGCCCCTAGGGAGCAGCAGAGAAAATGGTGGAAGGGATGAATTGCCAAGAGGGGAGTGAGTGGCCCCAGCTTCCGGATATGCGGCTCCTAGCACCCTGAGGACAGGGCCCTGCGGTATCACTACTGATTACGTGTCCCCTCCCCCTCTGGTCAATGCATAGCAGGTGGGGGCTCTGCAGTGAGCAGGGGCTGCCTGGAGGGGCTGAGGGGCAGGTGATGGGATCTGAGAACACAGGAAGAACCCGGAAGGCTGATGGCACAACCCAGGTGAACTGCAGAACCCCAGGGCTGGGCCCTCTCAACCTCAGGGTCATATCAGGGTGCCCTACAGTATGTGTTGGTACCTGTGTGTGTGTGCGTGTGTGTGTGTGTGTGTGTGTGTGTGTGCACGTTCCCACATACATTCCCATCTTTAATTTTGTGGTTTCTTTCCCACAGAATCCTGGAATACTGCCTACAGTGTACCCCAACCAAAGCTATGTAAGTGGTGTGCAGGTGGCAGCCGGAGATTTCATTTGCTATGGCAGGGTGGGAGGTAAATGACAGCCGGGGTGATCCTCCGACTTGCATAATTAAAAAGAGTCCTTTGCAGGGCTGGGGATTTAGCTCAGTGGCAAAGCGCCTGCCTGGCAAGCGCAAGGTCGTGAGTTCGGTCCCCGGTACCAGAGAAAAACCAAAAAAAACAAGTCCTTTGTTAGCAGAAATTTAAAGTATTCAGGTAAATTAGGAGAGCGTTGAAAGGAGCTTCCCATTTTTAAAATGGTCCCTGAGTGTGAGCTAGTTATAAGGCCTTCACCTGGCACCCCAGCATGCTTTAGTGTCCAGCCAAAGTTCCTTCCATGACAGTGAAGGCCCCCTGCTTTGGGGACACTGGGAAGTTTTCCCTCCACGTTTAACAAACCTGGAAGCCATACCACTCTCAGGCATGGTTTCAGACTCACCTGATGTCCAAGTCCCTAACATTTGTTACAGAATTTTACCATTGCAGTGGTGCTGTCTGCTGTCAGCGGCTGACCTGTCCCCACCCTCCCAACAGCCAATTCCTTATTTCACCTCCATCCCAGGCGGGCTGCACCCATCCAGGGTCATCACTGTGTCAGGCATTGTCCTGCCCAACGCTAAGAGGTAAGACAGGACCTCCAGGGCTCTCAGGGAGGAGAGAGCCACCACCTCGCTCCAGGCAGACAGGAAATGAGGGGACAGGCTGAGGCTGGACCTCGGGGATCAGAGAGGGCCCTTGTGATGCACCCACTTCAGGTTCGACATCAACTTGCGCTGTGGGAGTAACATCGCCTTCCACCTGAACCCTCGTTTTGATGAAAACACTGTGGTCCGAAACACTCAGATCAAGGGCCGCTGGGGGTTAGAGGAGCGAAGGCTGTCCGTCAAGATGCCCTTCAGACAAGGCCAGAGCTTCTTGGTAAGATGCTGCAGCCTGGAGCTTGGGCAGCTCAGTGGGTGCAAGGATAGAACGGGTGAGGAGGTCGGGGTACCTTGATGGGGTGCGGGCTGATGCCTGTGATAGGAGATGCCTGTGATAGGAGAGCGGAGCCCCAAGGGAGAGAGAATGTGTCACAAACTATTAATGATTACTGTCCCCACTGTGGTAAGTGTTAGCATCTGCTTTTTATAGATAAGCAAAGAAAATCACAGGATAAGTTACTTGCCAGGATCACACGGCCCATTTCTGCCCATCACACCCAGGAATGAGGTGCCAGTCACTTACTTGCTTGTTTACCCAGCAGTCACCTATCAGCTCTTCGATTGGGTCTGTGTGGTGCAGGCAGTGCCCTGTCTTCGTTACTTTTTTCTTCTTGCTGAGACAAATTACCTGACACCCAAAGTTAAAGGAAGAAAGGTTTATTTAGTTCACAGTGTGTAGAAGTTTCAGTCCACAGTGAGTTGGCTCCAAGGCAGGATGGCATGGCAGAAGGGCAACCATTCTTGGGGCCAGAAGATACCCAAAGCAACAAGAGCAAAAGGGGAGGGCAAGCCTCTTTTCCTCCTTTATATTATATGCAGGCTAAACCACCCTAGGGCGGGTATAGCATTCACACCCACAGTCCCAGCCTAGACAGTGAACCGATCACAAACTTTAGACTCAGTCATCTCTGAAAATCCTGCCCCTTATGACCGCCTGAGGCTTTGGGGAGACATCCAGAGGCAAACCATAACGTGCCCCATGCGCAGGGATGCAGCCAGGAAGCAGAGAGCAGGTCCTACCCAGTGGGGCTGGATCTAGGTGGGGAGGAGCAAGGAGACCAAGGCATGAGCCAGTCAGCACAGATAAGGACCGGTGCTGAGGAGAAGGAAAAACTCGGGTGGAGGGACACCCACTCTGGAGCCCTGGTACACAGGAGGGAGGGACCGACCTGTCCAGAGCTGCACAGCAAGGTGCAGGGTGAGGGTGAGAGGTGTGGGGTGTGGCTACAGCCTGATGACCACGAGCAGGACTTCTCCACCCTGACTACACATTTAGATCCTCCATAGGATACAGAAAATAAATGAAGCTTGGTGCTGTGGCACATGCCTGTAATCCCAGAACTCTGGGAGGCTGATGCAGGAGGATGACACCTTTGAGCCCAGCCTGGGCAATTTAGCAACTTAATGAAACACTGTCCCAAAGTAAAATATTTTTTAAAAAATGGAGGGCGTTTGGGAATGTAGCTCAGTGCAAAGGTCCTGGGTTCAATGTCCAGTACCACAGAAGGAAAAAAAAAAAGAATATAGGAAAGAAGAGAAAAGAAATAAAGAAAAGAAAAGAAAAGAAAAGAAAAGAAAAGAAAAGAAAAGAAAAGAAAAGAAAAGAAAGAAAAGAAAAAAGAGGGAGGGAGGGAAAGGAAGGAAGAAAGAGGACTATCAATGGTGATGCCTAGATTCTCCCAGCCATTGACACTGTCAGCCTGGACATCCGCTCAGACCTAAGGTAAGCCCTAAGGGATTGGACCCTGCAGCCAGAGTTGGAAATGACTGGTGTAGGGCTTCACAGGCCATGGAAGGAACTCGGATTTTCCTACAGTGAGAAGCCACTGAGGAATGAGGTCAGGAAGCAGTACCTTTGATTCATAGGTAGCTGTGTGACCTTGGGGAAGGGCCCTTCAGCCAGGGACAGTCACTGGGTCTTTGCAGCTCCGTTTCCTCATCTACAAATGGGGTAAGAATCCCGGGATCTCAGAGAGCTGTGGGAATGGGCCGCAGTAGTCTCTGTGCACGCTAGCATAGTGCCCTGCACGCAAGTGTGATGCAAGTATGAGCACTGCCGTTTGTACCCTGACGGCCTCCTGGAGAAGGTCCTGGGCAGGAAAGGAGTCATCAGGAGGCTACTTCTACTGCTGCTGCAGAGTCCAGGCGTGGACATGGGTGACAAGATGTCCCAAGCCAGCGCTGCTCCCCCTGATAGCCTGAAGAGGCAGATGGTCCCCTGGGAGGGTCTGGTGGGGCAGGGAAGGCTTGCCAGAGCGGGCTGGGTCCTGAGGTGCCTGGCACTGACACAGGGCAGAGATGCAGGCTGGGAGCAGCACTGCGGGCTGGGAACTGAGTGCGTACGGAGGTCCAGAGAGGAGAGCACGGGGTGTTCAAGGAAAAGCAGGTCCTTCAGTGCGGGCGGGTGCGGGGCTGGTCGGAGGAGTGGAAGAAGGCAGGAAGGAGGGGCCTGAGCCTGCAGGAGGGCTGAGGACTTTGTGCATGGAGTGTGAATGGCAAGGCCTCTCTGCCCAGGTGGCGATCATATGCGAAGGCCACTGCTACAGGGTGACCGTGGACGGCCATCACCTGCTGGAATACGCCCATCGCCTGACAGACCTGAGGGCCATCAATCACCTGGAAGTGGCTGGTGACCTCCAGCTGACCCACGTGCAGACCTAAGCAGGCCAGGAGGGCTGGCAAAGGGCTGGGTGTGCTGCTGTCTGCGTCTCCTCCTCCTCCCCCACCTCCCTGCCAGCCCCAACTTCCTGAGCCAGGCCGTCCCAGCAGAGGGCACCCCAGGCGTGCCAGGCAGGGGAACCAGCGGGTCCACACTTCCCAGCAGAGAAGGGGGTCCTGAGCCTCAGAAGCCCCAGCCCAGTCCCACACTGCACAAGGCTCTCACCCACTTTCCCATTCTTTGTGCAGCCCCTCCGAGGGCCCGAGCCCCTCCAGGGACGAAGTGACCTCCGCAGCCCTTCTCAGCCTCTGTCCTTTAACTTCTGCCCTTGGCTGCGCACCCTGCTGCAACTCTGTGCCCTCTGGGGAGACTGCCCTGGTGACACCCTGCTGGCTTCCACCAACTGAGCAGAACCTTCTCAGCTGTGGGTTCTTCCCTTTCCTACCACCCTTAAAATTAAGAAATGAACGCCTGCCTGGCAAGCGCAAGGTCGTGAGTTCGGTTCCCGGTACCGGAGAAAAACCAAAAAAAAAAAAAAAAAAAGAAATGAAATGCGCTGGCATGCACTCATGGGACGGCTGCCTTGTTACTGTGTCTAGAGACATTTAGGAGTCTCTGGATTTAAGGGTCCCTGCTGACGGTGACCAGGGGGAAAGAGCGCCGGCTCCCTTTGCGCTGGGGGTCCTGACATCCACACCCACTCCCCGCGGATCCCTCACAAAGCCCACGAGGGCACTGGAGAAGGAAGCTGGGACTCCGATTTCCCAAGCAGGGGTCTCTAATATGGTACCTCAGTAATGGGGTGGATCTAGGAAATATCCCCATGCTGCTGAGAGGGGAGAAGGCCAGGACAGAATGTGTGGGGCCACGGCAGAGCCAGCAAGCCAGATGACCTTGCGCCAAGTGGGAGGGGAGGCAGCTGGCTAGAGGAGCTGGCTGTGCAAGTGCCTCAGGACCACGGGTCCGCCAGCACAAGGGAGCCCAGCCGTGTCTCCGCCTGCTAATTCTATTAAGAACTTGGTCCCTCGGGAGCCAGGACAGGGCTCAGAGGGCGGGGCTCAGAGTGTGGACCTCATCGGACAGCAGCATCCTTGGGGAACTGATGAGAACAGCAGAGTATCAGGCCCCGCCTGAGACCCACTAAATGAGAATCTGCATTTCAGTAAGATCCCAGGGTGTGTGTGTTGGGGGGGAGGTGTGTGTCCCTGGTGGTGGCTGGACTCCTGGCCACGCTGTTCAGACCCCTTGCTCTTGGTGTCAGGGCTCAGAGCTCTTCTGCAGATGACCAGACATTGGCAAGCCCTCTCTCCTGTCCCCCATCTGAGTCGCTGCTGCCAGAAGTGGAAGGAGGGGGGAGGGGGAAACAGGGAGGGGGCCCATGCAGCCCGTGAGGTGGGGGCAAACCGAAGCTGGGGCTGGTCTCACTCAAACAGCCAGTTGCTCCCTTCTGAGTCTGTTGCTCAGTTCTAGGCAGAAGGGGAGGTGGCTCTGTCTCATACGCAGCCGGCCAGGCTAGCTGCACACCCCAGAGAGCCCCAGTATCAGGCAGACAGGGATGCCAAGCGCCCTGTACCCTACTGCGTCCCCCACCTACAGGAGCCCACGCGCTTTGCCCAGGTCCAAATTGCCACCGGCCAGGGAAACATGGCAGCAGAGCAAAACCCTCGTAGGACAAGGCGGAGTGCAAGGCCTTTACTAAAGAGCTGGAGTCAGGAGCAGCCTAACCCTCACCACTCCCTGCATAAGATGCGTCCAGTGTGAGGCGCAGCTCCTGCCCCTCCTCGGTCCACCCCCCCACGCCCGCCATCCCTCACCTTCTTTAGAGAAGCACAAAACTTCATTTGCGGCCCCCAGTCATTCCAAAGAGGAATCCATGGCCCGTCTGTTATGAGCCTTTGTGGGGGATCTTTGTCCTAGGGGTGGCACACCCCTGCCCATTCTATACAAATCAGGGGTGTTCTCCCTACAAACAGCCATGCACACACATTCAAGGTGGTTAAAATAAAATGAATTTTATATAAATATTTCCTTCAAGAAATCATACAAGGAAGGCTCAAGTGGCCCTTGGGAGCAGATGGATGTTTTTTAAATACAGAGGCATAAACCGGGCGCGGTGGCACACACCTATAATCCCAGCACTCGGGAGGCTGAGGCAGGAGGATCGCTGCGAGTTCTAGGCCAGCCTGGGCTACAAAGTGAGTTCAAGACCAGCCTGAACTGCATAGCGAGACCCTGTCTCAAAAAGACAAAACAAAACAAACAAAAAAACAAAAAACAGAGGCATAAATACTGTACACAGGGCAGGCTGCTAAATAGAGTGTCTTGCTAGCGCCCCCTAGTGGCCATAACAAGTGATGCCATCAAAAGGAGGTTTCATCTTCCTCTTAAACCCACTTGCCAGGCCTGGCCTTGCAGATTCATCCCCAAGAGACTGGGAAGAGTGGGCTTCAGGCACAGGGTGGCTCCGACCAGTCCAGGATGCTACTTGGCATTAGGTCAAGTGAAGGGCTTGAGGGATGCAGTCGAGGAGCTCAGGTGTGAGGCTGGGTGTGGTCACGTTTCCCCCTCTCCTGAGGCCCTGTGACCTTGGCCCCAGAGCTGGCTCCATCCCCATCACACAGCGCCAGCAGCCTGAAAGTCTCTGTGGAGCATCAGAGCTTGATGTCGCCGGGTGGCCGCTCTGCCCGGTCCTTCTTCACCTCGTAGGGAAAGACAGCACCAAAGATATCTTCATGATAGCGCTTCTGGCTCTTTAAGGAGAAACAGAGGTCAAGGGTCAGCTCTGCAGGTCCAGCCGCCCCTCAGTCACCAGGTTTGGGCTGGAACAAGGCCCTGGGGCTGCTCCAGCTTCTCCATTACATGGACCTCATGAGCCCTTTGCAGACCCAGAGGTCATGCAGAGATTACGCCGGATTTCCAGCCCCTGTGAGCACACGCTTCAAGGGTGGATTGCGTTCCACTTCCTCCCTGCACGTGTCCTACGAGACGTTCCAGTAAAGGTGAGTTTTTTTGGTTTTTGTTTTTTTTACTGTAGGACGAGAGGTTGAACCCAGGGCCTCACACTGAGTTGCTCGGTCTTTTTTATTTTTCATTTCAAGACAGTGTCTTTCTTGTTGCCCGGGCTGGCCTAGAATTTACAATCCTCCTGCCATGGCCTCTGCAGTACAGGTTCCCCCCATACTCAGCTTCCCCCCATACTCAGCTTCCCCGCAGAATGAAGTCATGATACATAGGACTGTGTTAAAGGCCCTGAGAAGTCTTGGTGTAAAGCAGCGTTTGCTTTTGTTTAACTAAGCGTATTCCAAACTAGCCTCAGAACATGTCTGAGGCCAAATATTTATGAACACAGTGAGCACACCTGGGGAAGTGCCCGTGATCCCCTCGCCATTCTTCCTACATGCCAGGCTCCAGGCCGTTTACCTGCTGCTCCCTACAGAGCAGCCCGGGGCAATAGGCGAAGGGCTTCCTCCTCGTCTCTTTCAGATCTTTTCTCAGATGTCACCTTCCAGTGACATCCTCTCTGGCTGCCTTCTTTAAGGTAATACCACTTAACTCTCCCTCAGCAGCTTCCCTACTTAATTCTTTGAAGCACCACACGTTTTACACATTTCGTCTTATTTGTCCATGCCACTAACACATAAGCTCCAGACAGGAATCTTTGCCTGCTGTTTCCTGGTCAAGCCCACCACACAGCAGCTACTCAATAAATATGCTGAACAGACGACCGTGTCACAGGGAGAGCACAGAAGCGGCGAGCACAGACCTTGGAACCAGAGGAGGACCAGAACTTGGAACCAGAACAGAGCGCACGGCTCTCACACTCCCTACTGTGGGCCCCCAGGGCCCCTCCCGCCTGAACACTTGGGGCTGAGCATGGCACCTCCCTCATGGAGCCCTCAGGAGGTAAAAGGAAATGCCACATGGGATCCCTCAGCCAGCACCTGGCCCAGCGCAGGCCCTCGACAGCTGCTGTGACTGCTGCCATCTCTGAAGCGGGCATCCTTCCTGTGGGGGACTGAGGGCGAGCAGACAGATATCTGGGCATAGACAAGAGTCCACTCCACAAGAGTCCACTCTGGCTGAGAGGAGACACGTTCCTGTCTCTGGGGTTCATGGCTCTGCTCTGGCTACAGATACTTTCTGAAGGGGGCTGGGGGAAGAGCGAGGAGGCTTTCTTACTCCCACCACACACAGAACATGGTGACTGGACTTCTCGAGGCCAGCCAGCAATCAGCCCACCCAGCCACCTCGGGTTCTTGGGTCTGGGAGTGTCCCAGGACTCTCCTGGTGCTGCCTCCCTGGTCCGGGCTCTGTGGTCTGTGCCCTGGCACACCCCCGAACCCATATACCGGCTACAATACCTTGACCTGGAAGAAGTACTCTTCAACCTGCTCCTCGTTCAAGTTCAGCTTGGCAGCCACCAGCTGCTTCAGAGTGTCGGCCACGTCCTGGGCCATGAGCACGTTTCCACAGACGTAGAGGTGGCCTTGCTCCTCGTGGAGCACACGGAGCACCTCCCCGGCCAGCTGCTGTCGCAGGATATCTTGAACGTAAACCTGGAATCAGAGGAGATGGTGGCTCCGGGCCTTGGCTGCTGGGAGTGAAAGCTCACAGCCAGGTCTGGTGACAATGGGAAGGTGAGGAAGAGGCACCAAGAGCCACAGAGCGAGCACCTTCCCAGCCAGGACCTTGGCTCAAGATGAGCAGGGCTACCAACCACTGCCCAGGCCAGGGGGTGGCCAGATTTTCTCTGAATTCACACTTCAAAGAGGCATCCGTCAAGCCAGAGCCGTCCCCCAGAGCACTAGGGCCTGCCCATGCACACCCCAGCAAAGGGACCTTCCAATGAGGTGACCATAGGTCCCGGTCATGACTCAGTGCAGGGGAACAGGTTCCCAGCTTCCCCAGGTACACAGAACATCCCAAGGACAACAGGGAACTCTGCTCTTGTTCTAAACAAGGTGTTCAGCGGCCCCAGCTCGGGGTTAGAGAGGCTGGAGAGGTGCCTGCAGGGACAAGTTCACGCGGATCCAAGCAAAGCTCTGTTCCCAGCCCCAGGCTCCTGGGGACATCAGGGCTTGAGACCTTGCTGGGCTTGAGCAAAGGGCTGGCCTGGACCCCCCTCCTGGGGCAGTCATGTGCTAGATGAGGTGCTGGGGATTAACCCACAGTGTGACTCTTAGTTCTAACCCTCCGAGGCCTGTGTCTTCTCCTGGAATAGAGGGCATGACGCTCTTCACACTGCCACCCTGGAGCGTGTGTCCTGTGCCCATTTTAGAGCCGAGGAGATGAAGGCTCAGAGTAGTGAGGGACCCTCCGTGGTGCATGCTCATGTTCCGTGCACAATGCGGCCGCATTACCTTGGGCTTTCCAGGCAGCCGTGAGTAGGCAGTGTGCACCTCATGCAGCACTCCCTTCTGGGCCATCTCCAGCATCTCTTCCTTATAGATGTGGTCCTCCTCCGGGTGGCGACACCCAAACACCAGGGTCATTCGGCCACCCTGGAGCCCTGCAAGAACCACCAAGCTGCAGTTAGCAGGATGGCCAGCAGAGGGCGAGCATGGCTCAAGGGGGGATCAACCTTAATTCTCATTTCATCCGTGCATGTATGCATTGTGTCTGCTATTCACCCCATTTCACAGATAGAAAACTAAAAGGCTGAGGCCCAGGGCATTCAGATCCCTTTTCCGTAGTCACATTGCTAAAAGTGCAGGCACAGGATTCCATCCAGCTCATTACTGATCAAAACTGGGGACTTTTCCTCTTACTCCCAGGGAAGAAATGCCCAGCCCACCTGAAGCCCTCTTCCAGTCCAGGAACCCTCATGTGGCCTTACTTCCTTCCCCTGTGTCCTACTTTATGTGTTTTCTTGCAGTGTGAAGGTCGCAGACTGGGAGGCAATGAAGACAATTACCATGATCCTTCATTCAACGCTATTCCTGTGCCAACACATAGCTTTTTGTTGGGTGCTGTTTTTTCCATTTTACTTTTTCCTTTTAAGGCATCACCCGAGCACGTATTCATGGAGCCCAGTGTGATATCTCCATATGTTTGTGCACTGCATAACGACCAAGCTGGGTCATCAGTATCTCCCCTCCTTTGTACCTTTGTGTTTGAGGTTGTGGAGCCGCTGCTGCCAGAAACTGCGGAAGGGTGCGATGCCTGTGCCAGACCCAATGAGGATGCAAGGATGGGAGGGGTCCTCGGGGAGCTGGAAGTTGCTGGCGCTGAGGGAGACAGGAGAGAAGCCCTAGTCCTCAGACACCCTGGGCCAGATGCACGCGCAGGATGCAGGCTGGGGAGCTGGGCGTGGGGCGGAGTGATCACGTGGGGGGTGGAGGAGAACAGGGAGCTCAAGGCTGATCCTCAGGTCCTGCAGGCTGGGTCACTTGCACCCCCTTCCCACACTGGAGTCCTTGAAAGAAGTCATTGCACTCTGCTGTCACTACCCCTGCTAGACACCAGGCCACACTCTGCAGCCAGGGGATCCAATGGGGAAGTCCAGGGTGACTCAACACCTTCGTGATGGGCGAGGGGTCCCACAGGGGCACTGAACCTCAGAACCCTTGCCTTTCACCTTAGAACTCCCAGGGGCCAGCGGTCCCCAGGACCAGAGAGGGCGCTTACCTCCGCACAAAGCAGGGCACTGGGTCCTGGGGCTGTAAGCTGCTGAACCACGAGCTGCAGACACCATGGTGCAGGGGACCCCGGCCATCTGAAAGGACGGCATAGACCTGAGCAATGTGTGGCCCCTGCCGGCTGCTCCTCTCACACTAATGGTCCCCCTGGACTGCCCTGTCAGGCCCCCTTGAGGCTGAATGAGGGGCTGCACGTGCCCTGGCTGACAGGCCTACCCTCGGCGCGCCCTGAACCAAGAGGCTGACAGGACGCAGCACTCAGGCTGCTCCTTTTGCCGCTGGAGAAGCCCAATCTGAGAGGGAAAGTGACTTGAACAAGGGCAGCAGAATCAGCTCTCCGGCTCTTACTCTAGCGCTTCTTCCAAGAGCTCCTCCAGGTCCTTCCCAGGCCCCTGGGCTCTGCTGAGTGTCCTTACGAAGGTGAATCTTGCCAGCAGGACCCCTGGGTGCGGAGGGCTCCCCACACACCCCAGGGGCTCTGACACCTCCTGTCTTCCCCACGGGCCCTCCTGGAGTGGGAGAAACCCCGACTTCCTCAGACACATTCCCTTCATCATGGCCCAGCGTGCGAAGGAGGCCTCGGGCTGACCTGCTTTTGCTCTACATGGACTCGGGCTCTCACAGGACAGGACTTGCCTGCCTCTTGTCCCTGGTCCCAAGGCCACACTTGGTCTGTGTGGGAGCTCTCCAGTGAGAGGACAGAGGGCCCGGAGGCACGGCCTGCTCCCAGCTCTGCCAACCCAGACACTGCTCCGAGGCCAGGGCAGAAGCCCTGGTTCAGACGCTTGGCTAAGGGAGTGGACAACCAGGTCTGTGGTCACCTCCCCCAGGAAGGCTCCCTCCTGTCCTTCTTGCTGCCTACATAGCGATGCCCACCTAGCTATCTGTGCCTCTCTTCATTGGCCCACTAGATGCCCCAGGAGGGCAGAGGCCGCGTCCGCTGTGTTTCCACACCCACCGTGGGCCCAGGATTGAGGTATGACAGAAGCCCCAAGTGGAGCGAGCAAGGGCTCTCAGTGCAGAACACCCCACGTTCGGGCCGGACATCAGAGGACTAAATCGTGGGGCTCCCCTATGTGTTGCATGCTTCCCACACTGATCTCATTAAACTGTCCCAACTGCAAGAGGCCAGGCGGGTAGGTGAAAATTTGCAATCAGCAGCTAAACCCCGAGTTTGCACTGCGGCTTTCCTAACAGTGTGACTTTGAGCAAGTGGCTTCACCTCTCTGTGCCTCCACGTCCTCCCCGGTCAAATGCGCACAGAGCCCAGCTCACATCATTACCCGAGCACCCACTTTGGAGCTGGCCGACGGCTCCGGGGCCTCTGCCCTGCCTCACCTTGGGTGCGGTAGGTGACCACAGCCACCGTGAGGTGCACCTCTGAGGGAGCGTGGTCCAGGGAGGAGCTGATGGAGTAGTAGCGGGGCTTCAGGATGGGGAGCTGGGAGAGCAGGAAGGCAGCAGGCACCCGCAGGGACGGGAACTCCTCCAGGACCTCCAGGAACGTGGGGCTGTTGGCGAACTTCCATTTGTTGTACTCTGAGGGCTGAAAGCCGAGGGCAGCATGAGGACTCGGGGTGCCTGCCCACGTGGGTGCATGGCGGGGGAGGCAGGCACAACACAGGTCTCACTCAAGGAACAGGCCGCTGCTGGGCGCTGTCCAGGGTACTGAGGCTACCAAGCTGGGGAGGGAGGGGAGGAATTTGGGCCAGCCGTGTGCCCGCCTGCTCTGGGTACCTCAGACAGGGCTCAACTCTATTACAATCTAATGTGGGGCAAGGCTTTGGAACCAGTCAGATCTGGGCTCCAAGCCTGGCTGGATGGCCCTTCGTGGCTGTGGAATCCTATCTGATGACTTAACCACTGAAGTGAGGATGGCATCTCCTCCCAGTGGGGATGTTATGAGAACTCAGCAAGGAAACATGCGCTGTTAGTACAGGGCAGCCACAAAATAATGGTTGTGAGATGGTTGGGGATGGAGATGATTAGCGGAAATGATGACGGTTCTAACGATGGCCAATGCTCCGTGCAAAGACACCGGCCAGAAAGCTGCAGGTGGCTTCAAGCGCTCTCTCACTAAGTGCTTCATCCAACTATCCATCTGTCACTGCGTCCACTTATGCATTCATCCACACCACCCATCATTGTTCAATGCTTCTGAAAGTCCAAGCCTGCTCTAGCTTTTGGGAAGACAAGGGCAAGACATGGTGCCCCACCCCTTTCTAGCTAACCTCCAAGGACGTATACACAGGCTGCATCCTCAGAAAAACTCAGTGCCCTCAACATAACTCTGCCCTAGCGAAGGGGCAGCAGATGGTGCCTGATTCCCAACGTCCTCCTTTGAGAAACGGGCTGGATCCTCACAGAGGTTAAAGCTGACCTCTGGGCTCCGGTTCCTCCCACTCTGGGACCTGCCCCTGCCTCACCCACCAGCCTCGACTCTCACCTGACTTAGCGTCTCCAGCCTCCCTCGCTCAGCCTGTTCCGTGGCCAGCCGGGCCAGCTTCTGCAGCTGCAGCTGGGTAGGGGGGGTGGTGATGTCCAGGAAGTAGGTGAGGGCCTGGCTCAGTGAGCAGGGCGGCAGCCTCTTGTCCCTGACCCAGTAGCTGCCTACATGGGAAGGAAGGAGTCAGGATCGGACAACAAAAAAAGCACCATTTGGGCTTCTTGGAGGCCCATGGGACCTCGAGGGCAGACAGTTCCTATCTTCCCAGGATAAGGGAGAAAAGACATGAAATCCTGGCTCCAGGGAAAGAAAAAGGCAGGAAGCAGATGGTTCCCACAGACAGGGCTGCCAGGGAAGGCTGGTGAACAGCCCTCCAATGGGCATCCATGTAGACACAATGCTGACAACCTAGCCATGTCCCGCTCTGGCAAGTGAGACACTCACAGATGAACTACAGACTCCTCATGACTAAGTCCATTGAAGACTTCTGTCTACCCCAGGGCCCGTTGTGCAGACAAGCCCATGATGACAGTCCCTTGTGGGGCTGTGCTGAGAGGTTCTGGGGGATCAGAAGATCAGCCCAAAGTAAGGTGACAGCCTCGAGCAGTCTCAGGACAATCACAGCACAGACCTCAGGGCCAGCAGACCTGGGTTCAAGCTCTTGTTCCCCAAGTTCCAACTGGAAGACTGAACCCTATAGCCTTGGATTTTTTCTCTTTGAAATGGATATGATGATAAAGCCTATATTGCTGGGCTTGTCTGAGCACCTAACTTGCATATTTGTGTGAATAGCTGGTACAGTGCCTGGTGCACAACTGCCCAATAAACGTTAGGTAAGGATATTACTGATGTTATTTCATCTGGACCAGAAGCCTAATGAACCACATCTGCGTCCCTACAATCACAAGAACAACTCTAATTTTCCCACATTTCAGGCTCTCTAAATTTCTCCTGATTTGGGGAGGGGGCATTGCCAGGCTTTGCTTCTTGGACCCTCCATTTTCCCATTCAGGCCTCTATGTTTAGGAGATACAGTCTTTGGAGGTGTCACTGTCACTGAGGAAACTATGGCCAGGGAGCTGTTCCAGTGGGTTGGGATGGGGCAGCTGGATCAGGGCGGTGCAGGCCCAGCCCTCGCTAGGAGGAAGAGCGTCGAGGGGTGCCAGCCCCATGGCTGCACTCCTGTGCTGAGGGCTCACCGCTGTCATCCAGGGCCTCGAGGCACACGGTGTGGTGGGGTCCGGGACTGTCCACTACTCGCTCCAAGATGCCTTGGACCAGGGCTGGCTGGTTGCATGGGAAAACCCCAAGGTGCTCCCCGGGCAGGTAGGCCAGACCTTGGTGGTTCTCACAGGAGAGTTCCACCAGGAGGGTGGTGCGGCTGCGGAAAGAAGAAGCGCCTGTGACCGTCAGGATTTCCTCCAAGCTCCCTGATGGGCAGGCCAGCTCCTCTGGGAAATGTGCACTCCCGGCATCTTCCTGCCTGGTTCCTGGAGCCTGGCTCACCAGCCTGAGCTGGGACAAGGCCTGCTCTCAAGTGGGGACCCTCAAGAGTCCTGAAGCTTCCCCGCAGGGAGAAGGTGGGCCATATCCCTCCCAGGTAGTTCTCTGAGCCAACAAGAGCCTGGCCCTAGATTCTCCCTGAAGAAAGCATCGCATTCAGAGATACATGGACACTGGAAAAAACCTTTCCTTATCTCTAGTGCAGACGCTGTTCTCATTAGAACAAAGGCTACGTCTCCTAACAAAGGGAGAGAGCATGACACAGATAAACCTCTACATGATCCACAGCACTTGCCCACCTGGCTGGGAAATGTCCTTCCCCGCCAAAACTTTTCATGAAAGCTCTTAAGACTCGATTGCTCTGAGTCTGCTCGGCCTCTCCTTTCAGTGAGAATTCTCAGTAGAGTAAAGCAGAGGCAAAACAGGTGCCCAGTTCCTGGGCTGGACAACCGGATGCTCCAGTGAGACCCAACACAAAGGCACAGGTGGCCACAGTCCCACAGGGGGCATCACTGCTAACCAGGGGATACTTCTCTCCCTTTAAGACTGACTTGCCCCGGTCTTTCATTCATGAAAATAAAATCTTGGATTTGTTTCAAATAAGTCCTTTAAAAAATAATAAATCCTTGATGATGCTCTGGGAAGGCCTACGCTCCTGCTCACCTGGATTTTGGACTCTGCAGATTCTGCTGAGACTTGACCCGCAGAGTGAACACGTCCTTGGCGTGCATCCTACTGAGGGCTGTGGAGGCAGAGACAGGGAGATGGCAAGGGGCCCCCTGAGCGCTGGTGGGGGAGCCCCACATGCCTGAGTCCATTAGTCCTGCACACTACCCTCAGGCGACCCGCTGCAGTAGTTGTTGGTTGCGGTTTTCCTTTCCTTCCTTTTTTCCCATTTCTGAATCATAAATAAAGAACCTTGGTCTAGAGCTGGGTGTAGTGGCACTTGCCTATAATCCCAGCTCTTTGGAGGCTGAGGCAAGAGGATAGAAAGTTCAAGGCCAAGGGGCTGGGGATTTAGCTCAGCGGCAAAAGCGCCTGCCTGGCAAGCGCAACGTCGTGAGTTCAGTTCCCAGTACCGGAGAAAAACCAAAAAAAAAAAAAAAAAAAAGAAAGTTCAAGGCCAGTCCAGGATACATAAAGAGTTGAGCAAATAATGAAACCCTATCTAAAAAAGAGAGAGAGAGAGAGAGAGAGCACTTTGGTCTCATGGAAGATGGTTATGCTACTGCTAGGTGTCAGGAAATAGATACCAAAGTATAGAAAGGCCCAGAATGGCTAGGGATCCCCAGGAGAGCAGACTTGAAGCCAGGCACATCCTAAATATGCAGGAACTGGCAGGGCTTCTGTCCTCAGGGTACAGGGCACAGCACGGGGAGCGGGTGCAGAGCCCAGTCACTGACTGCAGGCTGCAACTGCCTCTGGAAAGCCTCTTCATGACAGGGGAAGGCTGGGCTCAGCTCCCAACCTCGCCATGCGCTATAGCTGCTTTACCTCTGCCTCCTTGAACATCAATTTCCCCATCTGTCCTTCTCACAGCCTGAATGGCAGGGCTCAGTTAGCCCACATGGCCAAAGAGCCCAGCACAGCGCCTGGCTCGGTCAGCCCTCTGCTGGCACTGGCTCTCTCCTCCCTCCACGCCCAGCCCTGACTTCTTCCTGAACTGGCCTCTCTCAGAGCCAGAGTCTTGTTCCCAACAAGCCCTGGGATGCACTGAGGCAGAGAGGTGCCTGCAGCCCCAGCCAGCCCCCTCTGTTCACAAGGGCCCGATGCTCCCCTTGATCACGGACTAGCAGCTCGGAGATGAAAACCCAGGCAGGCAGGAAGGGCCAGCAGAGAAGTGGGTACCTTTGTTGAGGTCCAAAGGCTGCAAGTCCTGTACCAGCCTGTAGTGGTGCGGCTCCCAGGTCACGCTGGAGGTGTAGCGCTTGGGGATGGGGATGTGGTGTTTGCCTCGAACATTGAACGCCACACAGGCTGCCTGGAGGGTGCAGAGACTGGTGCTCAGGGCCTTGTCGTCATCAACACTAAGCTTACCAGCTTCTAGGCCCTTCCCCTGCACAAAGGTGGGGCTGGGTGCTTCCAGGAGTGTCAAGCACTCATCCAAGGGGCCGCCGCAAGGGCTCAGAGGTGCCCGGGCTTGGCACACAGTACATACAGCTATACGCATGAGTACGAACACTCAATCATCTTATTTTAGGTTCCTGCCCACGTGGTAAGGGAGGGGTGACTACCCTCCTCTCCTAACCCAAAATCAGACACAAGAGGCCTCAGGTCTGGAACCACATCCGCCGGACTCAGGCTGCTGCTGCTCCTGTTATTGAACGAAACTCTTTGTTTCAGTCCTAAATTCCTGAGTTAGCAAGGTCAAGACCCGGGCAACAAACTGACGCAAGGAGCTCAACTCTGTGGTCCCTGTCCCCAGCTCTCCATGGCTGGGGGGCCAATGAGACATGGTTGTAAGAGGTGACGTAAATATTTGTGGGAAAAGATCTTGAGCCAGAAACTCCCCAAGGGCAGGAAGGCTTCTCTGCGACCTTTTCCCGCTGAAATGACCACATGATTGGGAAGAGCAGCCTGGATCTGAGCCCCAGGGCTATAGCCCTGGGCCACACCTGGGAGCTACCCACAGATGGGGTAGCGGTCATGCACCTGGGCCAGCTGGCACAGACATCCTGAGGGTACACACACCCCAACATCTGTGCTGTGGGTCGCTCTAACTAGAAACTGACCTGGAAGGTTTGCACAGCCCAGGTGCGGAAGGCGTCCTCCTGCCCGCCGAGCTCATCCCCTTCCCCCACCGGCGTGAGCTGAGAGGCCCCCAGCTGCGACAACTTCAGGTCGATGTCATGAGCGAAGGCACAGAAGCGAGGGTACATGCTGGAGCCCAGGCCAAACACGGCATACCTGCGGAGGAGGACACGCACAGGGAGACTCGTGTCACAAGCGAGCAGCACCAACAGCCCACAAAGCCAGCCTCGTGCCATCCCCTGCCTGCTGGGCCACAGCTCCACAAGTCCTCCTTGGCCCCCAGCCCTCGCCACCAACCCCTCCCGTGACCAGTGTGCCTCTGAGAGGGACGTGGGCTTCTGTGGCTCAGAGGACAAGCCTCTGCCCAGGCCCCCTTCTGTGCCGGGACATCTTTAGGACACGTCCTGCACGTAGACTCTATTCTCAAGCCCAGACTCAGGGAGAGTGTGTGTGCAGGGGAGGGGGTTACCTAAAGGTGCTGGTGAGCTTTTTCAGCATGAAGAGGGATTTCTTCAGTGTCTAGAAAGAGAGGGGAGCCACAGAGTTCTCAGGCCAGGATTTACAAATGCGCTGTTTCCGCTTTCTTCCTGGTGGCACATTTAAACACTCTGCACATCTAGCACGAAAAGGCTCCAGATCTGCAGTGCAGGCTGGTTTGTATGCGGTGCCGTCTGGCGAGGGCTCAGCTGACAAGCTCAGCTTGTCCCTCAAGCCAGCTTAGGACTCGCATGGGCTCAGCTCCTGAGGGGGGTGTCCCTTTCCAGTGTGGCCTCCCACCCATCCAGCCCTGGTAGAGCCCAGCCTGCCCTATAGCAAAGCAACCCTAGAGGGTCTCCCGTTTGGAACCTGTTAAGAGCACCAAGAACTGGGCTCAGATTCTCTACAATAACCCTGACTTTCCAAGAACCCAAGATAGGTTCAGGTGGTACAAAATCCAGCAGAAATAGCATTGCATCATATTGCCGGAAACTATTCTCTTTTCTTAGTAATTCAGTTTTTTAGTGATTTCCTTTTTGATTACATGACCATCCTTCTCAGCACTAGAGAGACAGTCTCAAGCTGGTGCTAATGGAGCCTTGTCACTTCTCTCGTATTTGTCTGTTAATCTTTTTAAAGAGCCAGACAGAGCAGGCCTGGGCTAGGCAGATAAATCCAAAAGCGAAAATCCAGTAGCTTCATTTGAAGTTCACTAAATTTACTTTGTGCTGGCTTTCCTTGTGTGAGAGTGATGCAGGTGACTTTGAGATTTTTTTTTTTCTGATTTAAAAAAGGCAGATCAATTCACAGCAATTATTATGCCATAGAAAAGGGGACATGCTAGAGCCACAGTGACCTGTGCATCCTGTCCCAAAGGCCCACTTGAGTTCACACTGAATCCCTTCAACCGTTTCCTGGGTCCTGCAAGGCCTCAGCACCCTGCCGCTGATGTTCAAGCACTCACCTCCCCGTTGCCAGGGCAGTCTCCGTTCCCAAATGTGCTGGTCACCACCAGCAGGAGCTGCTCCTCCTCCAGCCTGCTCAGCCTGTACTCGTCCATGCAGAGAACCTGGGATGACACGGAGGTAGCCATCAGCCCTCAGCTCTTGCCCGGGCCCTCCATGCCTGCCCCAGACACCCACCCAGCTGTCGGGGTACCTTGGGGTTGAAGGCACAGCTGAACAAGGCCCCCAGGTCCTGGGCCAGTGCTTCTGATTTTCCCGTCTCGGTGGCAAAAAGGATTGTGGCTCTGACACGGGATGCCATTGTCTTGCGCATCAGCAGAGAGGCAAAGAGCGCAGCTCTGGGGGGACAGAAAGACAGATCTTGTGAGCTGAGTCAGCTTCCAGGGAGGCTCACTGTGGGCCAGGAGAATGGGAGGGGGACAACATCTGAAATGCGGCATGTGAGGGCAGAGCAGCCTACATTGCCCAACAGCTGTCCACCCTGACTGTTGGCCCTCGTCCTTTCTCACCTGCTACGCAGTCCCATGCAAGTGGCCAAGGAATTGGTGTCAGGAGCTCTGGGAGCCAAAGTCCACAAAGGATATTCTGTCTCTGAGCTCCCTGCCTACAAGGCCTGCGGGTGGAGGCTGAGTAGAAGGTCCCAGCAGGGACACCAGCACTGGCCACTCCACTTACCTGGCCAAGACTCTAAACGGGATCTCCCGTCTCTTGGGTCTGTGAGTCTCGTCCTGCCACACGTGGGTCTTCCAGGCTTCCACCTGTAGCCCAGAAGAAAGATGTGAGGCACCTTCTGCGACAGGGCGCAGAGCTACATCTCACTGCCTGGCCCAGGTCCCCCGTGGCACGCTGAGGAAGCCTCTCCTGGATCTCACGAAAGTCTTCTTTGACAAAACGTGAACTGTTACACACAGCTCATGGGACACATCCTCCCACCATGGAGTTAATGTCTGTCCTTTTTAGAGATGACAGAAATGGGGCTCAGGAAGGTGACACGACCTATCCATGATCACACAGCCAGTAAACTGTAGAACCAGCAGCTTTAGACCATACCATTCCTCTCTGTAATAGTTTGCCAGGTCCTCCCAGGAAGTGGTGTACGGACAGATACCCTTGAGGGCTTACGCCCATCAGACAACAGGCCACCAAAGGCACACTGAAAGGAATTTCCTTCAGTCTCCCTCTGTGGAAAGGGATGGGGGCTCTTCTGCCTCCTTGAGTGAGGCCTAAAAAGCTTTAATAATATTCCCCAGGTCCCCAAAATTCTTCCTGTCTGCTAGCCTAGGGGAGCACATGAGTGTCTACACACGCATGTGCACAGTCTCCACACCTGAGCTCCAAGGGGCACAGGAAGGGAAGGCCCCTCCCTCACCTGATAGTAGTAGAATGGGGACAGGATGTAGTTCAGCATCTCCTGGTGAAACACTGGGGTGATGCTCCCCGAAATTGGAGGGACCAGCCAAATCCAGTCGGCCGGGCAGCCCCCACGGGCCCGGTACTCGTTCTGCATGTGCTTCATGAAGGACTCTGCCGCGGAGTGGTGGTCCATGATGGTCACATTCTGCTTCTACATCAGAGGAAGGCAAGAGAGGAGTCAACGTGGAGTGGGAGAACAGGAGTGGGGCCCGCTGGCTGCAGAGATGCTTCCTCCAAGGTGGCGGGGGCAGGCCAGCACCCTGAAATGCGACAGTGATATTCCCCTGGCCCTTCTTACCTGCGGAAACTATGTGCCCAAAAGGAGGCACTTCCGGGGCCCAAGACATCATCATAACCATGGTGAGACCACGGGTCACATGGTGGCCTCCCCTTGACCCTCTGGGGAAAGCACCCAGCTTCTCATGACCCACACGGCTAGCAAACAGCTCTGTCTGGATGTGAATAACTCAACAGCAGCACTTTTTTCAAGTGAAGCCACCCCAGCCCTGTGTTGGTGGAGAGTTCCAGGCATCACTTCCCTGAGGTTGTGCCTTCTCAGCCAAGAAGGAACTAGACACCACTGTGAGAGGGCTGAGGCACTGAGATCATTCTACCGTAGGAGAAACAAATCATCCACATCCTAAAGTTAGAGGCCATGGGATCTGGGCCAGCTCAGAATGATACAACAAGAACAGCCACAACCCCACTATGGGTAACCACAATGTCTGGGGCAACCATTGAACCTGAGACACTTTTTTAACACAATAGTCCAAACTCTGACCTCTCATTGGCCATGTGACCTCAAGCTATTAGCTCCTTAACCTTGCCAAGCCTCCGTTTCCTCATCTGTACAATGGATGTCAACTGTTCCTATATCATGACATTGCTGAAAGGATGGAGGAGATTGCTAGAAGCACAGCATTGTAAATGCTCAACAAATATTAGCTGCTGTTATTATTTCATCCGTCAGGCATTGCACAAGGCCCTCACATGACAAGGGGAAAGATGGTCCATACTCTGCATTAGATTATTGTCTACTAGGCAAAGCAGAAGGAGGTCAGCCTTTGTCACAAGGCCTGATGGGAGCTATGATGGAGACAAGTAGGTACAGCTCAAGGAGGGTGGAGAGGATGACCCAGTGGCAGACAGAGGTCCAGGAGAGGTACAGGGACTGGGGACAGTGTAATGGTTGATACATTGTGTCAACTTGAGAAGTTTAGAAGCTTAACTAAGTGACTCAGCAGGGGGCCAGGGTTCTCCCTCTGTAGACATCCTGAACCTGTGGAAGAGGAGGGTATGGAGATGGTGTGTGTGCTACATCCACCCAGAGGAAGGGTAGCTTGGTCACAGTATAAGGGAGGAAAAGAGGCTTGCTCTCCCCGAACCTTTTTGCTCTTGCTGCTTTTGCTGTCTTCTGCCCCCTTCGACTATTGCCCCTGGGCCATGCCACCCTGCCTTGGAGCCAGCTGATTATGGACTGAAACCTCCACAAACTGTGAACTAAATCAACCTTTCCTTCCTTACTTTGGGGTGTTGGGTATTTAGTCCCAGCAATGAGAGAAAAGTAACTAAGACAGCTTCCAAGGGAGGGAAAATTTTGAGAGAGAGATATAAGTTGGCAAAAGCATTCTTGGAGGAGGAGCTTATGAACCAGAGCAGTCAGTTAATGTCAGGACCTGTAACTCCAGCCACATCTTGGAAAATTTTATAAACTTACTTCTCAGCTTACTACATAGCCCAGGCTGGCTTCAAACTTGAGATCCTCCTGCCTCACCCTCCCAAGTATTGAACTGTCACTTAATTCTGAATAGGAGGTACTGTTATTATCTCCATTTTACAAATGAGGGAAAAAGAAGGCCAGGTCTTTTAAAGGTTATCTTGGAGGAGGTGACAAAGAAGTCCCGAGACACTAAGCAGTGGAGGGCCTTTGTCAGCAGCAATCAGGAGATGGCTGAGACTCTGAATTTTCTGAGACACATCTGCATCCTGCCAGTGTCAGGTCTGGCGTTGGGAGTCCTTGGGAGCCAGGATGCATGATCCCCACCAGCCCTTCCTGAACTGGGCCAGTGCAGGTGCTCTTCCTGTTCCACCTTAGCTCTGAACCCTTCCTCCCTCAGTACCAGGAAGGATTTGCCCTTGGGGTGGCCTAGCCATGGGGAACAACATATGAGCATACATACAGTATTTCTGTTTACCACTCACAGTCTTGGCCCCTAGTGCATGACAAATGCTCAATTAAACTTTGCTGAATGATGAATGACTCTCTGTCCAGTGTTCTGGCCTCTAGGCCATCAGTCAGCTTTGTGGAGACAGTATGATCTTCCAAAGTAATAACTTCACACATCCGGAGCCTCCCTCCCTAAGGCATGCAAGTATAGGAACAGCGCAAACAGGAAAAGCAGAGGGAGGAAGGGCTCACACCCATCAAGAACCAGCCTGCTGTGTGTGGGCACAAAAGATGGATGCTGTACTCATGGCTCACACAGACATAGGCTTGCATTTATTCATGCATCCAGCACATACGTTTTTAGCATCCACCTGTGCCAGACACTCTGTTAAGCCAAAGGTGCATCAGCAAACATGAAAGGTAAGACCGCTGCCGCAGGGAGCCCTGTGGGGTTTATATTCCAGTGGGGAAAACAAAACAACAAAGATAGACAGAAGCAGATGTCCTATATAATACCAGAAAAAGCAGAATTAAATTACTAACTGAGAGAGACAGGATGGTGATGGGGCGAGGGTATTCTTTTACATGGCGTGGTCAGGCAGAGGCCCGTTAAGGAGACAACTGAGACCTGCAAAAAGGTAAGGAGCTGGTCATGGGACGATCTGTGGAAAGAAAATCTAAGTAGAGGGAAATATAAGCGCAAAGGCCCGAAGGTGGGAATCTTTTGGTGAGTTTGAAAAGATGACAAGAATTCCAGCATGACCAAGCGGTGGAAGATAAAAGCCAGATTGGAACTACCAAAGGATGATGAAATGTCATGAGACTGTGAAAAAGTTTTGCTGTAAAGAGAGGCAGATAAAGCTGGGGCCGGGTGGAAGCCCGAGGATTGGGAAGAGTTGTCTGGCTAGCTATTCATTTATTTTCTTTAGATGGGAGCTAGGGCAGCCTGTGTGTACACAGATTAGAATGATCCAGCAGAGAGGGAGACAGTGGTGATGCAGAAAGAGGAGAGGGGATTTGCAAGGATAGAGCCCTCAAGCAACAGAGAGGACAAGATTCAGTGCTCAAGCGCAGAAGGTGGCGGGTCTTAGGAGGTGAGGGCTTGCCTGCTGTTGGATGGCTAGAGCAGGCCAGGGGGCTTACTTAGCCCGTATCCCAGCACCAGGGAGCTTCCTGGCACACTGGGTATTCGATACTTGTCTGATGCACGCATGAATGAACAATGCTGTAAGGGGTACACCAAGCACCAGACAAGTAGCAAGGCCCGCCCCTTCTCACCAAAACATCTGCAGACCCATAAAACATCTGGCATACCTGGAAACTATGGAGCACAGCAACATTGATCTCTGTGACAGCACGGTCTTTCCAGAGGGAGGCCAGTGTGTGTGTGTCCAGGCCCATCCTCCTGCCCACTTCCTGCAGAGGCAGAGCAATGGGGTGAGGCTGCCCCAGAGAACTCCCCATGGGCCCCACCTGCAGAACGCCCAGCTAGGCAGCCCTCTTAACCTCCAGGATGTTGTAGCGCTGAGCATCACAGAAGTCCCGGACTCCGATCTCTGTGCCCATGTACCAGCCGTTGAAGGGGCACCCAGGGAACTCAAGGCCGCCCACCTCAAGCAGCATGTTGGCCACCGCAGGCAGGGCATACCACTTCAGCCCCAGCTCCTGGAACCACTCGTACCTAGTGGGAGGCGGGGCCAGTTTTAAGTGCGGCTTTCTCCTCCACCCCACTTGCACCAAAAAAAAAATAAAACCTTCGGAAAAAGATTCCACCAAGAAAATTCCTTTCCAAGAGATGATCTGGCCATCCCCCCAGGACAGAATTGTCCTCAGTTGTCACTCATTAAAAATAAAAACAAGAAGTGACAGCCCGAGGCTGAGGGTGCTGACTCTAGATCAGGTGGTCTGTAGAGCGTTCTTAGAGGGGGTGACATTGCAGGAAATCACTTTTGACAAGAAGAAAGGAGCCTTGCAGATTTCTGAGGAAAGTGTATGTCATGGAGGAACAACTGCAAAGTCCCTGATGCCAGACTGAGCTCAGTATATTTAAGGGACAAGAAGAGTTCAACCTAATGCCGGTCAGATGTAAGTCTCAGTAGATGGAGGTATTTTTGTAGTTAGGAGGAGCACCAAGTGCAGGGCTGAATGAAGTGAGCTCTTAAAGTCACCTGCTGCTGGCCAGGCTTTGGGGGAGGTGCCAGGAGGTGCCTGATGGCCGGAGTCTCACTGGGGCACAGAGATGGGGCACATGCTGATTTGCACCCCTGCACCCCGCAGCCACTTACTTGGGATGCTCCATAGGCACTTCAAGCACAAGATCAGGTGGGATTTCAAAGAGCTCAGGGTCGCGGCCGTCAGCCTGCAGGACCAGAGGCAGCACATCAAAGCGGCCGTAGTGAGGCTTCCAGCCCAGGTCAATGCACAGCTGAGAGACAAAGACAGACCCAGTGAGTCTGCAGGCCCAGGCACTTGGTCTCCTCGGGCCTCCACTCTGTCACCCACCACAGACTCCCTGCCCGAAGGTCGCAGGGTACCTGAGTGAACTCCAGGTTGGCAGGGTCCCCTCTGATGGTACCATCTGGCATCTGGTAGCCCGCATACCGGATGAGCTGAGCATTCCAGATGCGGAAGTCATGCTTCCCATCAGTCCGCTGGGGGAACACGGTGATGGCCGACCTTCCCCAGGATACAGACAGTGCTGTTTACCATCTGACCCTGTTAGGGGCTCTGAGCCCCTCCCTGCTGCCAGTATCTCCCACTCCACTCTTCCCACTCTGCAGCCCCCGTACCCAGGCCACCACCTGCTCCTGCCAGCTACCCTTCCTCTATGACCTGCACAGGGCTGGCCTCTCTGGGAGCCCCCATGCTACAGCCCTTTTCCTCGCCATCCCGTATTCTCTGCCCACAGCTGAGTTGTTGGATGCTTGTTCAGTGCCGACCATAGGTTCATAGCAGGCTTGAGCCACATCTTAGGGTCTTGGTCACCTCTGCGTCCCACTCCCTTCCCTTCTTTCCCCACCCTCCAGCCTAACCCTGGTTAAGTCCCCATCAGATGGGCACTGAGTATTTCCTGAACATGAAAATAAGCGAATGACAAATGAGCTGTTCAATCCAATGGGGCGGGGGGGAACACACAACAAACATCGAGTCTCCCATCTCTAAGAAAAATACCACACCAGATCCATCTGCTAAAAAACTAATGTCTCACCCACCTAAAATGTGGGAAGCCCTAACTAAGCAGTGAAAAAGTTACTTCTTAGAGACGTAACTTTCTCAAGGGTTCAAGTCAGAAGGAAACCACAGAAACAGGCTACTGACAGAGGCTCAGCTCGTGGAGGCAGGCTCACTATTCAAGGTCCGTGAAGAAGCTGCGTCTTTCTCCTTTTCCTCTCTTCCTGGTTTCTCCTTGAGCCGGGGATGCCTCCCCTATACCCATCTTCATCTTTTGTCTAAGACTCTGGGGCAGGGAGAGGTGCACCCACCTGATGTTGCCGTTGTTGGTGGAATAGCGGAGGTGCCTGCAGATGTGTTCGAACATCTCCTGGGCAGTGGTACAGCTACGGGCATCGAAGACCTGCACACCCCCAACCAGACCATGTGGTCAAGGACTGTGTGGCAGAGGCTTTGTGGCTGATCGGAAACCTCTAGGGACAGTGGCGCCTGCACACCAACACCCGACCAATGTGGGGGAGCGCATTCTCCCCTCGGCACTGACTGTCCCATCTCACAGCTGCGCTATCCTTTCTGCTGCTCTGCTACAAGAGCACAGGTAAACCTACTTAGAAGACTCCAGAAAAGCTCACATCCCCAGAAAACTTTAAAGGGCCAGGAGTCTGGATCCCAACAGCCCCTGTCTGGTTCGTTGGCAACACAACCATGTGTAACACAGCCAGAACTAGTTTCCCTGGCTTATCTTGTCACCCGCTCTGTCCAAGTGCTTTCAGTATGATCCAACAACAAATAATCCTCCCACAAAATGATGCCCTAGGATGCTGGGATAAATCAAATGTTCTCTTGCAGCCAAGCATTCAAATATTCTAGACAAAAAACCTCTTTTGCAGCACTAAGGCCTCAGCACCAACAAGAACAAGGTCATTCATTCTTTGGCTTTATGGTAGTATTTGGTCTCCAAGGTTTAACATAGAAAGATCAGCTAGAGATCCTGGTATTGAATCAGATTCAAGACATGTAGCAGAGGAGCCCCTACACAGCCATCTCAAATTGGGAACCTGGGGCTTTGGCTTCTGTCTGCGGACCCCAGAGGGCCACCTGCTTAGGGCTCAGGGCCACCCACCTCCCTCTTGACTCCCTCACCTGCAGGTTGGACCACTGGATCCTCCCGATGCAGCGAGGGGCATTGCGCCAGGCCAGCTTGGTAGCGAAGATGAGCTCATCTCCTGTCAGCTGGTAGGTTCCTGTTGTTTCTATCTCCTTTGTTACTGCTTCCACTCTGGCCAGATATTCCTCTATTTTTGCCCTGGGGGACAGGAAGACATCCGGAAGATTAACAATGCGATGACCTTACCTGGAGATTAACTCAATCCACAGACACAGGAACTGAAGTCAGAAACCAAGAGAGCAAACTGTCCCTCACTGGAGACTGTCCCCTCCAGGGCCAGCTATGTGGACTCTCACTTAGCCTAGAGGGGTCTCGGGTTTAATGCACTGCTGTCACCATCTTGAAGTTCTTAGTCATGTTGGAATAAGGAGTCCGTATTTTCATTTTTACTCTGGATCTTGCAAATTATGTAGCCCGTGATGAGCTGGACAGAACCCTTGTTATTTCCAGGTGCTTTTCTCGGTAACTTGGCAAAGGTTGAGATCCTTCTCAGATATTTGCAAGACTTGGAGGAGCAGTGTCTAATCAAGCCATGGCAACCTCATGTCTCCTTTGGTCAGCGGAGTGCCTGTCACCTCCTTACAGCTAAGAGAAGGTGGGTCAGCCCCTCAGATGGCAGCTCCTCTACACTGAGACTCATGTGAGCCAGTGAAGCAACTCACAGCCATGGTCTTACTGAGTCTGTGAGGAAGGGTTTAATATTTTTTTGAGTCAGGGTCTCATTAAGTTACCCAGTCCTTAAACTCAAGCCAATTTTCCTGCCTCGGCCTCCCGAGTAGCAGGAATTACAGGTGCACAGCCACCTGCTGGCTTAGAAGGTGTTTTGGGTTCATTTTATTGCCAGGAGTCGCAAAGCTCAGGGGGTCTCACATCTCTAGGGAGTTAAGTGCTGGGCTCGGGAACGTTAGCATAGAAAAGAGCAAAACCAGGATACAAACCCAGGTTGCCCTGCTGCCAAGCCCTGGTTCTTGACTGCCCACCGAGGCCCTTCTACCTTCCAAACCCCTTCCAGGGGGACTGCAAGACTTGAGACGCTGTCCTCAGGAGCCCAGGCAGGCCCAGACACAACCGGGGAAGACAGGGTGGGGACTCAGGCCACAGGGCTCTAGGGCCCGCCCAGGCAGAAGCTGTATCCAGTGATTTCTAAACACACTTCAAAAATATCCCAAAAGGAAGGACTTGGTCAGAAAGGCTTTGAAACACACACACACACACACACACACACACACACACACACAGAGCAACCTTGAGATTTCTAATCAGCACAAATAAAAGCCTTTGAAATAGCAACAAACAAAACTATTTAAGGAATAGATTCCTGACTAAGGCCACTGGACGGGCCACTGGGAACAAAATGGCCTTTTGGGCATGCAGAATGTCTTGACAACTCTTCTTCCTTGATTAAAGAAAGAAGCACAAAGACAAAACACGGGGTGATATTTACCCTCAAGGACATCCCTGCCATAAGGAACTGCCGGGTGAGGTCCGGCTCCCTCCCCAAACAAAGCTTCCGGCAACGTCCCCTGTTCTGCCCCTGAGCACAAAAACAGCAGTGACCACAGCCGCCACCAAAGCTTTCAACACGCAGGGGAGCACCAACACTTGACTACTGGTAAAGGCCATCATTCACATTCGTGCCTGAGTCCCTTCAAATTTTATATTTTACCATTTCACGTAGCCCTGTTTCTGAGGCACTAAAAAAATGCTATGATGACTGTCAGCTCTGAAAGAAAGGAATGGCTTCCATCAGCGGCAAACACATTTGAATGTGATATACAGCAAGCCGCACTCTCTAAACACACCGTAACTCTCCACATACAAAGGATGACCAAAGCCGCAGCAGGCCATGTCTCTGGCTGTTGGTGTCACTGTGGGGATGGGACTGGCATCATCCCAAGACCCTCGGGGGAGACCGTGACAAATGGGACTTCCTTCAGTGAGAAGCAAAGGGTTTGAACAGCCACCATGCCAGCTTGCCCTCATCCCGACTGGAGTAGGACCCCAGGCCCCAAGAGGTAGATGCCAGGGGCCCGAGGCTGAAAGCAAAGACTCCTGGTGCCGGCTGCCTGGGCTCAACTCCCAGCCTGGGACTGGAGGATGTGAGCCCTCAAGCATGGTATCTCTCCTCTGTGAATCCGTTTCCTTGTTTGTAGAAGGGGGATAATGACAGTACCCATCTCATAGAGTCGTGGTTTCATTAAACGCAAGTGACTTACTCAGGGCCCGGCATATGCTTGGTGCCCCATAGATAAAGAAAAAGTACTATGGCTCAGTGAAGTCCGTCAGGGAAAATCCCTGGGACCCGAAAGTCTCACTAGATAACAAGAGAACCAAGAGACCAAGGACAATAGTCATGAAATACTCTGGCGGGAGCTCTAGTTGCCTGGCTCACAAAGTGGCAGCCCCCAACCACTCTCCACCCAGCTGAACATTACAGTTGCTAGGGGGTTAAAGAACACAGACTCTGTCACTTCCCCACCTCCCAAGATGCTGCTGCCCGTGTCTGTCAACTGAAGAATGACTAACTACAGGACTGAAGGACTCCCAGCACTGCACCCACATCTATAGCAGCAGGGGCATGGCGAGGTGGTCTCCAAGGAACTTTCAATCTCAAGCATTTCACAATAGTGGGGTCCATGTAAACTAGGGCTACTTTGTGCTAGGACACAATTATGAACTTGCATAATCCTCAGAACAGTCTCATGAGCTAGTCTACTACCTCATTGTACAGATGATGAAATTTGAGGCTCAGGGGTTGAATGGATTTACCAAGGATTCATTGGTGGTTAACGGTGGAACTGGGATTCAAATTCACACTTTTAACCCCGACTGGGAACACCTCCTCCAAGGTCCCTTCCCTAGCAAAACTGTGTTTCCGCCCTGGATCCACTGCGACTTTGGGAAGGAAAAGGGTCTGGAGACTCAGGGTAATTGCTGGACACCGGGAGCCTGGATGGAAGAGGCAGTGATACGCGGTAAAAACCTTACTCTTTGAAGGAGTCGTAATACTGGTTGACAAATTCGATAGCTTGAGGTAGAAGCTCATCCAGAGGGGTAGGCTTGTCCCTGGGTCCTCTGGTCATACTTCTGGGGGTCATCATGGACCCAAGGCAAGATTTGGGTTTGCAAGCAAAATTCTGGAAAAAGAGAGGCAGGTGGTGAGGTTGGGAGTTTGGCCTCTGGGCCTTCCTCCTCCTGGGCCAGGGCCTGGCTGCCTCCCTCCCGACCCTGGGACGCCTCCTCCTTGGGGTCCACAGGGTTTCCTCTTCACCCAGATGTCCTCTCTACAAGCTAAGTCCCAGTGAGTGTGGACAAGCCTGGCCTCTGTCTCTCAGCCTGGTCTCCAGCCACACTCAGACTCAGACCAAAGTCTACAGCTTGGTCCCTGGGAACATTTCTTGTGCTTGGCCCATTTGGCTCCAGTGCTATCACTGGACTGAAATAAGAGTACAAATCACAAAGCCATAGAATAGCACAAAAAGAAGTCCAGAAAAACAGATGCCCAAATGTGTACTGGAGTGGTTTGCAGTGGCAGGGTGAGGGCTTTCACGGTCTTGAAATTTTCAATTCTTCCCCACTTTACAACCATAGTGTACACTGTTAAGTCAGACAAAGGAACAAGACACGTAAAAGAACAGAAAGGAGACTTTTAAAGGACATTTAGTCTAACACTTATTGGCAGCTTAAAGCTTTAATCTCCCTTGAGACCTTTTAATGACAGGGAGCTCACTATGTCTTCACTTAGTTCCAGCTTTGGGTAGTTCTGTTAAAAAATTCTCTCTGGCTGGGCGTGGTGGCTCACGCCTGTAATCCCAGCACTGGGGAAGATGAGGCAGGAGGCTCTTTGTGAGTTCGAGACCAGCCTGGGCTACAAAGTGAGCTCAAGGCCAGCCTAAACTGCACAGCGAGACCCTGTCTCAAAAAGACAAAAAAAAAACATAATAAAAATAAATTCTGAACTCTCTCTAAGCTGGGGATATAGCTCAGTGGCACAAGTGCCTGCCTAGCAAGCACAAGGTCCTGAGTTCGATTCCCAGTACCCCCCCAAAAAAAATCTATCTAAGTATCAATTCCTTTCTGTAATCATTTATCTGACTTTCTGAATTACCCTTTACTTATTAGGGTAGTTAACAGGGAGTTGACACTATTCATCTCCTACTATACCTCTTGGTCCCCAGCACCCTTTGCCCAAACAGATGATAGTTTGATGTACACAGGGAAATATCTGTTGGACCGCAAAGAGCCCCCCTGGCTTTACCAGCTTGGGATAAATGTGGTTCTCCCCGGAGCCTGGACTTCTCACCGTTTTGGCCTTATTGTGGAGTGTGTCTTGCAAAATCATCCCGTTGCCCCAGTTTTTGATCCTCATGTGCTGGGGGCAGGTCGGTGAAGGCTTATGTGGCTTGCTCTGGGATTCTGGAGTCTTCTAAGGGGGAGAGAAACCAGATTTTCCCAGGAACCGCAGGACCCCAGGGCTCCCTCCAGCCTCTGGACCCTGCTCTAGCTTGGGTGGTACAGGGATCTGCAGGTGGGCACACACAGCAGGGGGGTCAGTCCTTGACCTCCTACCTTCCCAGCAGGCAGGCCACCTGGGCCCAGGTCTGCTGAGAGATCCAGGTGCCTGGGCCACAGGCCATGCTTCTGTCCTCACTGAGGCCCTGCCAACACTTGCTCAGCAGAATTGCAATGGCAAGAATTCAAGTTCCTTGTGAGAGAGCCTGTCATAGCCAATACCACCAAGGGCAGAAGTCAGAACGGGGAGGAATATACCACTGCCTTCCTTCCCCCACGGTATCTAAGGATATGAAATCCCGTTTCTCTCCTCCCCTACTCCTTGCCCTGCCCATCTCTCTGGAACTCTCTAGAAGAAGTGGAAAGCACTTTGGGAGGCTGGGACTCGTTGCCCATCCTGCCAGACCACTTAGAGGTACCAGTGCACCTTGGAAGTCATATCTCCCAACTACTGCAGATCTTTCTGGCTGCAACCCATGCCCCTGGGTCTGGGACCCCATGCTTACTATCCAGACACTGGTTTCCTGTGCCCTCCAGCAGCCTCCAATGGGTTATGCATCATGCATCTGCCCAGGCCAGGGAGGAAAGGGCTTCCCATATTCACGGGACCCACTGACCTTGGCTGTTCCTGTAAGGGGCTGGGAAGATCCACTGCGGTGCTCATCAGGGCTGCAGCGTTTGGGGTCATCCTGTATTTCTGGACTGTGAAAGGAAACAGCTGTCATGAGCAGAGTCTGAGAGTGGAGGGAGTCTTGGAGTGCACTCTGCTAGCCCCTCATTGTGCAGAGGGTGGGAGTGAACTGCTCATGGTTTCCGGTCAAGGAGGACAGATCAGTCAGACAGAATCTCCCACTTCACCATCCTCCCACCTCCCCTTCTTTCTTCCCCACACAAAGCCAACAGACATGAGGAGAAGTGAGCCAGCTATTGGTCCAAATGGGGACACACAGAAGCATCGAGAAAATGTCCCTTTCTGAAAGCCAAGTGCCAAAGTATTACAGGGGTTGGTGGCTGAGATCGGCTTCCGGGCCAGCAGCGAGCACTGTCTACCACATGCTTGTTTCTAGTGACTCAATCTTTTTAATTTAAAACACTTAATTTACCTTGGGTTATTTGTTCACTGTACATTTTTACGGTGGAAAACATGAAACATACAAGAGTTGCAAGAATTGCATAATAAACTTCAACTACATTAAACTCCATTTACAATTATCAACCCATGGCTCATATTGTTTCAGCTATATCCTCCAGGCCCCAGGAAAGACAACCTCTTGAACAAGCAGTGCTGGGGAAACTGGCTACCCACATGCCAAACGTTGAATCTAGACCTGTATCTCTTATAATGTACTGAATTAAAATCAGAATGGATCAAAGATCTACATGTCAAGACAAGCAATCTGCTGGAAAACAAACAGGTAAAAACTCTTGAAGACACAAATGTAGGCAAGAACTTCCTGAACAAAACTCCAATTGCACAAGAAATAGCAGCAAGAATCAATAAATGATCAACTTACAGAATGGGAAAATTTTTTTTCAGCTCTTCAGACAGAGAACTAATACCTAGAATATATAAAGAGCTGAAAAAATACGAGACCTGCCTAAAATAAAAAGACCCCATCAAAAATGGGTAACTGAAATGAATACACACTTGTCAGAAAAAGTACAAATGGTCAATAAACACAGGAAAAAATGTTCAACATCTCTGGCCACTAGAAAAATGCAAATTAAAACAACACTAAGATTCTATCTTACTCCAGAAAGAATGCATACCATTCAGAAATCAAATAATAACAAATGCTGATGAGGCTGTAGGGAAAAGAAACCCGTACATTGTTGATGGGAATGTAAACTAGTACAACCACCATGGAAATCAGTATGGAGATCCCTCAAAAAACTAAAACTAAAAATTCCATTTGAATCAGCTCTTCCCCTTCTAGGTATCTTCCTGAAAGAGTTAAAGACATCACATCACAGTGATACATGCATATTCATGTTTACAGCAGCACAATTCCTAATAGCTAAATCCTGGAAGTACCTACTATGCCCATCAATAGATGAATGGACAAAGAAATTGCAATATTTATACACAATGGACTACTACTCTGCCATAAAGGAGGATAAACTTGAGTCATTTGTAGGAAGATGGATGCACCTTGAGACTACAGTGTTAAGTGAAATAAATCAGACACACAATCTTAAATATCACAGGGTTTCTCTTATGTGAGAAACCAAAACTATAAATAAAAAGCAAGGTAACAAATAAGAGGAATTAGGGAGGGAGATAGGCCTTTTGTAAAAGGGAAGGGGATCCAGAGATAGAGGGAAAGAGGAGGGAGGAGACAGAAAGGGGATGATAAAAAGATTGAGGTGTCTTACGTACATGTACAACGCCCCACAAGGAATGTAATCACGTACTGCAAATGTGTACCAATAAAAAAATCAAATAAAAAAAATATATCCTCCTGGCCTCTGCTTTTATTTGAAAGCAAAGTTAAAATATAATGTCATCTACATAATTACACACATGGCATAGGAGCATTAAGTGATTTATAGCTATAAAAAGATAGTATCCCTTTAAAAGAACATACCCACAGTAATCTCCCCTTATCTGTGGCTTTGTTTTCCATGGTTGCAGTTACCCAAGGTCAACTGTAGTATGAAAATATTAAATGGAAAATTCCAGAAATAAATAATTCGTAAGTTGTAAATCACCCAGCATTCTGAATAACATGATGAGATCTTGTGCCATCTTACTCTGTTCTGCCTGGGATGTGAATCACCCCTTTGTCCAGGGAATCCACACTGTCTACACTACCTGTCTACTAGTCATTTAGTAGCCATCTTTGTTATCAGATCAATCATTGCTGTATCACAGTGTTCGTATTCAAGTATCTTTATTTTATTTCATGATGGCCCCACAATGAAAGAGCAGTGATGCTGGAATCTGAACATACCAAACAGGGGCTGTAAAGTAACTGGTTATAATGAAAAGGCAAAAATTCTAGACTTACTAAGGAAAGAAAATACTGTAGGCCCAGACTGCTAAGCTCTATGGCAAGAATGAATCTTCTGTGAAATTGTGAAGAAGGAAAAAGAAATTTGTGTTGGTTTTGTGTCACACCCTAAACAGCAAAATTACAGCTACAATCCATGACAAGCACTTAGTTAAGATGGAGAAGGCATGAACTGTGAGTGGAAAACGTGAACAGAAGACAGATTCTGACTGATGGTAACATGTTGCAGGGGACAGGTGGCATCTACACAAAGACTTCAGCAAGGAATTCCCTGAGACAAATGACACCCACCCACTGGCTGCAAGTAAGGGATGGTTACACAGATTCAGAAATATATTTGACCAAGAAATAGGTGCAAGGATGGAAAAAGAATTAATTATGTACATATCCCAACTCCTCACCATGAATGTAATCGTTATGTACTGCAAACGTGTCTAATAAATTTTTTTTAATTTCAAAATCCCATATATATGTACATACGTATATGTATGTATGTGCATATATATGTGTGTGTGTATATATACATATATATATTCATTGACAAATGTAAAAATTATTGGAGGGGTTGCATCTGCAGAGTTGAAGAAGTTGATTAAGGTCATCCAACCACCAATATCATCATGGCTCAATGGTTTTCAATGACAGAATTTTTCTTATAGTGCATTGTTATAGTAGTTCTATTTCATTACTAAGTATTATTAATATCTCACTTTGCCTAGTTTATCAGTTAAACTTTATTGCTGTTAAGTATGTACAGGAATAAAACACAGTATGTAAAGGGTTCAGTACTAAAGTGGGTTCAGCCACCCACCAGGGTCTTGGACTGTAGGCCCCACAGAAAAGGGGAGCTGCTGCATGTATCACAAAGCAATTTATATCTCAGGTAACACAGGAGCCCTGCAAAGAGTTCTCTGTGTGATCATCTATTGTCTTCTGACAAAGATTCTTTGCTTGGCCAAACTCTGGTCAGACTTCTGGACCTTATCGTAGGCCCATCTGTGCACGTAAATGGAAAATACATTTTGAGCAAAGAATCTTGTTAAGTCAGTTTATCAATAACTCCCCATACACACGAGATCTCATCACCTCTGACATCTAATCAGGTTCCTCATCCTCCACCATTCCTCAGTAATGTTTGATCACTCTGGTCTACCTTCAGCAAGAATCCTGTTAGGTCAGTTTAGCCAGCAACCCTTGTGTCCCTGGTATTTTGTCTTAGAAAATTTTCATCCACTGACCCCACACCCTGCTCCCTGGCTCTGTTTCCAATCTGCCCCTGCCGTGCTCTGAGTTGAGCCCAGTCTCTCTCTCCCACTGCAAGACCTAGTTGCAGCGGTCCCCATGTCCAACATAATGGTCCTGAACAAAGTCTTCCTGGGCAAGTTTTAACACGTATCATTAAATACTTTTTTAACACATTCCTCCTATCTGGATCGGTTTGCCTCACCAGAAAAATAAATAAAGCCAATACAGAAGTATCTGGAATCTGGAACAGATAAGCCGTGGCGGAGTGGTCCGCATGGGAATGATGACAAATGAAAAGCTGTTTCGGGGCCTGAGGTCTTCAGGCCTCCAGGTCTATGCTCCTCTCACTCCCCGGCCATCACCTCTCACACGAACCTCCGTCCAGCACTCTTTGTGGCTCCCTCTTCCTTACTTTTGGAGAGATGGACATTTTCAGAAGCTTCAGATCAGAAATGCCAACTGACCTACAGTAGTATCTAAGTTGATAAACTTAACACACCTAACAGCTTACTAACTTGCACACTTAACATCCCCATTTACCCCAAATATTAGAAAGCATCGGTTTCAAGGGTTGTCTGAAAATCCCGTACAGATGGGGCTTAGTTAGCCTGACACATCGTGTGTGCAGCTGGATGTTTAGGTTGTGTGTGGTTCTCTGCCCTTATAAATAATGAGCCTGGTGCTGGTTGGGGGGGGGTGTATGCGCATGTGCATACAAGCACCTGGGGGAACATGCCAATAAATGTTCACAGTGATCCACATTAAACAATGAGATCAGTTTTAATTTTTCTTTACACTTTTCTGCATCTTTCAACTTTTTACAGTGGCTGTGAATTTCTTTCATAATTGGGATTCTTTAAAATTTGGAAAAAGAGTAAATAAAACTCTGCCTGGCCTGCTGTTACCCTGGTCAGCAGATTTCCTTGAGCTCGCTGCTGAGGGAGCCCCGGACCAAATACCAGGTGAGCACACTAAGGCTTTGGATTCTTCCTTCCAAATTACTGCCTTATCTCACATCCACAGACATCCATGCCACTTGGCTAAACCTTCGGCTGGATCTGCTTGGCTCTTGGTAGGGCTGAAGACCTCTAGGACCTGTCTGTCATCCAAGGCCGGCCCAGGAGAGTGGGGGCCTGCTTAGAGCACAGAAGGGTCTGCTGAGGGGCCAGCTTGCTCTGTGGCTGTCAGGGCTGATCTGGGGTCCTGTTCCGTGTGAGGCTCCCCTCCTCCGACCCAGCCTAACTCTCCTTACACTAAGGATATGGCAGAGGGGTGGCACTCGTGGAAGTGGGTTTTCTTTGTTAAAAGAAACCACAAAAACCTCTCTGCTCTCTTAACCATATCTGAAATCTTAAGAACGTAGCAGTCCCGGGCTCAAATATCAGAAAAACTCCCAAGTGCTGAAACAGCCACAATTTAGCCCGCATAGACGCTTCTCTGGGCGCAGGCAGGGTCATTTGTGGCTCCAGAGTTGACCTCCTCTTTGTTCTAAACGAAGTGGAAACACTCACTCGCGGGATCCCTAGGGAGCAAATATTCCAGCCCTCCCGCTTTTCCTCAGTGGGGAGCTGGGCGACCGTCCCCTCCCCCACCCCCACGGCCCAGCCCGCAGCGTACCTGGCTCGGCCGAGGCAGCGCGTGGGCTTTGGCGGGAGGATCCTGCGCAGGAACCTGTAGAGCCGCGGCCGGGCGGCCTCGCACGCCACGCTCAGCCCCTCGCGCATGACTCTGGCGGCGGCGCCTTCAAGCGACAGGCTCCGGGCCGCCGCGGCAGCAGCTTTATCGCTTCGGAACCTGAGCCCCCGCCCCAGGGCGGGGCAAACGGAGAGGCCGCGAAGGCCTCCTGGCTCCGAGGGGTCTCCAAAGGGACCTCACCTCGGGGGTGATCCCGGTTAGCGGGCTGGATGACCTTGGACAGCCCCTAGGCTAAGACAAGGGTAGGGGCCAGGATGTTTGGTCTGTTTTATTTACTCCAGTAGGCAACAAGGATCGCCGCAAAAACTCTCAGGGCACAGGGCTTCACAGTCCACACGGGAATCTTTCCTGTCTCTCTGGGTATCCTTCAGCCCTTACAAAATCCAATCTAGAAAGCAGTTCCTGTTGTTATCTCCATTGAGGAGAAAGGAGTGGGGGCGCTCAGAGAGAGTAGAGACCTTTCCCAAAGTCACACAGTAGCAGTCCAGGCTCAAGCTGTCTCCACCTCCTAAGGGCTACCTCCAGGACATGTCCTTTTGTGCTTGGAGTGCAGACAGGGGATAAAAGAAAGTGCAGGGCTGGGGTGCCTGCTAGTAGGAAATGTAGGGAAGGGCTGTGAGACCAGATGTCCTGGGGCCCTTGCAACCTGAGATGCATAAAGCATGGGGACTTTGTTCCTCAGTAAATGGCTCTTGCATGCTGGCCAGGCCAGAGGATGCAGGTGGGAATGGGGCTGCAGCCTTCAGGGGCCCCTCTGAAGCTTATTTCAGGATACACAATCCCAAGCCCAGGTCACAGAGGAAGGACGGGGTGTGTTTACTCTGAGCCACTGCAGCCCAACCCAGAAAGCAGACCGCTGCTCCCTGAGCCCTGTTCAGCTTTGTTCTGAATTCGGTGTTCTTCACCTAGGTGTTCTCACATTTGCGTTGGTCTCTAGGCACACACACACACACACACACACACACACACACACCTCGCGCTCACTTCCAGTTCTCTTGTTCATACAAGTCATAGACTCATCAGTCACAGAGCTCTGGGTCTTGGTCTTATTACACCTGAGAAGAGTTTAAAACTACTTCTAAAATAAAAATACATCAACTGGCTCCCATTGTTGCTGAAATCCCCTTTGTGGGCCGCTTCCTCTCCCAGCGGCATCCTCCCTGCCCCCTCCCTAGGTGGCTGGGGTCCAGCTGGACCACCTCCTGCGGAGGGTGATTGCCCTTTTCTCTATCTGTTTTACAGCCCAACACATAGTAGGACCTGGGGAGAGCCCATAGTGTGTAGGGTTTGGACTTGGTTCAGATCTCAGCCCCAGCACTTCCTAGACCTGGGCCTTAAACAGGTGATTCAAACGTGCAAAACTAGGATAACCCTGGTTCCTGCCTCCCATTGACACGGTGCTAAGGATACTATACATGTGGCTTATTATTTTTAGCAGTAACTAACACATGCGATTTTGAGACTGAGGCACCAGCAGGACATCTACAGGCCACCCGACTCTGTGTCCTCATCCCTTTGTCTCTTGAAAAACGCAGACCTAACTGCTGGGTTTCAAGTGTTCTCACCTCCAGTTCACACCGCACACTGCACCTGGACTGTCTTGCTCAAGAATCTGAAGTGACTCCCTACTGCTGAGCAGAGTGAGTCCAAGTCCCCCACCCTGCATTCAGGCCCTGGAGTTTTTTGGGTTTTGTTGTTGTTTGAGACGAAGTCACAAAACGTAGTTCAGGCTGGACTTGAACTCACTATATAGCCCAGGCTGGCCTTGAACTCACAGTTATATTCCTGCCTCAGCCTCCTAAGTGCTGGGATTACAGGCATGCGCCACCACGCCCAGTCCCTCGAGCTTTGACCTGTCTTCTTGACTACAGTCAGGTTCACTTCTGCCTCTTCGCTCCCTAGCCCTCTTCCTGGAAGGTCTCTGCTGTATCTCTCCAAATTCTATGCACTTTTCAAAGTCCTTGGAGCCCAGCTGCTTCTGTGAAGCCCTTAGGGAGACTCTGCTTAACGTTGCTCATCCCCATCCCAGCTGCCAACAACCAGCATGAAAATGACAACCACAGCCCATGCATTTCTGGAGCACTTGTTCTGTTCCAGGCTCTGTGCTGGGTGATTTACCTGTGAAACCTCGTATCCTTTCCACAACTCCAGGAACTAGCATTACTACTCCCTCCCTACAGAGGAGAAAACTGAAGCTCGGAGGCTAGGGGAGTTGCCACAGGCCACAGGGTTATGAAGGGGCAAAGCCATTTCCTTCTCTCCAAGCTCATGGCTCTTAATGGGCTGCTTTTGTTTGGCCCCAGGACAGACACACGTTGTCATGCTACGCATCTCCGGGGAGTGCCCTGCCCACCGTAGACCCTGGGGAGGATTCCTCCAGGACTGGACGCTGTGTGGTGGCCCTGGGTAGAGTGGGGCTTGGGTTTGATTCGTTCTTGTTGCAGATTGACTTGCTTTCCCAACTGAGCAAGGCTCCACCCCCGGGCTAAAGCATGGTCTCTAGCATTCTCAGAAGCCCGTGCACCGACTAGGTGGTTGACTAACACTCTCAGGTCGTGGTCCATCAGGCTTGCTTCTAAGGCTAAGGGATGGGGTATGCAAGGCTTAAACAAACTCTAGGGTCAAATTTCAGTTTCATTAATTACCAGGAAGATGACTGAGTCATTGCTCCTGCAGAGCTCCTGTTGCCCCCGCTATAGAATGAAACCGTGTGCGCTTTACACAGCAGCGGCAGAGGTCAGCTGAATGCAAAGCATGCAAGGTCCCCAGCTTTGGAAACCGGCAACAACCCCCTCTCATCCAGAGCCTGCTGTGCACAGATACACTTCGCCTGCTTTCCACATGCCTCTCGTGCCAGCCCCAACACCCTTCAAGGTGGGACCACGTGCTGCCAGTGAGCAGGTCTGGGGTTCGGAGAGGTTCACTCTCCCAAAGCCACACAGTCTTAGAGAGATGGCACGGACCCAGCTCCCGTGGCACAGCACAGTGCTTGGGTATAGTTTGTTTAACATCCTGATACCCTTCCGCAGGCTGACGGTCAAAATATCTAACAAATGCTGCAGCACACGCCCAGGCAAATCAGCACAGATGTCCATCAGGATGTGCCCTGTTCTAACCTCCAGGCTCCACTGCCTCCCATTCTCGGGCATTCTTCCTCCCAAGATTCCAAATCCCCTCAGGGTAGCTCAGTGTGAGTCCCTTCCTTCCCCTTGTAGTGTCAGGCGCGGTGCAGTGTCCAGTCAGCAGCGACCTCCAAGAAGCAGCTTTGAGGCCAGACCTCAGGGAAGCCAGGAGCAGAGAGAGAGGACTTCCAGGCTGGGGACACAGAAGAGAAGGAAGCTGAGAGGAGACAAAGCAGAGGTGGTGGCAGATGCCGCTTACCTGTGGATGACGCGAATGGCTTTCCCCACATTGTTGTTGATGTCCTTTTCCTCTGTGAAGTTGTAGCGATTGGATTTGGCCTTCCACAGGAAATTCCAGGGACAGGCCATCTCTGTGGCTTTACAAAGTGGGTCACTTATCTGGATTAAAACTCAGATGTTGGTGGCTGTGGAACTACAGAGGGAGGAGACTGTGAGGCAAGCCTGAAGATGAATTCCCCGAACTGGGCCTTCCCAGTTCACTAAAGATCAAAAGAAAGCTAAGGCTCGCACCCCCACCTCGTCAATGCTTCATCTCCTCATCCCTGTTCGGGCGCTGGGTCTGAGCCTGAGAAACATAGACTTCAATTCTACAAAGCCACATAATCTAAAGGAACGATGTAGGACCTGCAGTGTCACCAGTAACCAAGGACAAACCTTATGGCCGTGAGTGTCCTTAGTCACCCGCTAGTTTACCTGACTGAGAGGAGGCTCATCCTGAACCCAAGACAAGATGGGCAGGAGCTGGGAGATCACTGTAACATGTCAGACTGGGCTTGCGTGCCTGACCCTGTAATCATTGTTCACCCTAAGGTGATAATGCCACTTTCTACTTTTTTATTAGTCAGAGAGAAAGTAATATTTTTGTTTTAAAAAAATGCATCTAACTCCCAGTATTTGAGATTATCTCCTGTGAAGAAGATAAAAATCAGAGACCCGAGAATTGGGTTTTGTCTGGACTTTCCCATAGCAAACCTCCTTTTTGGGAAAGGCCTCCTGCTGCAGCTAGAAGGCCTTCACACACATTGGAACCTAACCCCCCCCCCATGGCTCCAACCTCAGCTCTGTTCATTACTTGACCGGACTCAGGTTCAACTACAACTTGTTTCTTGTTCATGAAATGGGATTAATAATATCTACCTTACCAGAATTTTGGGAAGGGAAGTTACAAGTTATAAAAAATGGATAAGAAAATGCATGTAAAATAAAAATTCTTAGCAGGTACCCTCCCCGTTCTGAATTTCCCCAGAAACCTTTTCCTTGTAATGTATTGAGCACAGCAAATATTTGCAAAAAATAAACCTGAATAGGATGATCTCCCGAAATAGCCCAAATTCATGCAGTTTTTGGTTTTTTTGTTTTGTGGTGCTGGAGATGGAACACAGGACCTTAGGCGTGCTAGGCAAACCTCTACCACGAAGCTCCATCTCTGCCATCACCAGAAAATTCCCAGTTTTCTGAGCCCCCGCCAATCAGAAAGAAGCAAAACCCTATCAGAACACCAGCTTCCCCAGAGACGAAGACAACTCACCTCACACAGCTGGTTGAGTGGTCCTGCAGAGCAAGGACGAGGAGACTGGGGTTGGGGGTCCTTGGCCTTGAGATCGTCAGGAACACCTGTAACTGCCCAGTCTCCTCACTAATTTGGCTAAGAAGTTTCAAACTAGTGATGCTGAGATCTCAGGCAGAACCTCAGCCTTCAACTCACAACAAAGTTAATGATCACATCAGCAGTCAGGAAGTATTTATACTCATGGTATGCCACCCAGGGAACAGTTTCTGCATAAAGTGCTCTTATTTATTTCCAAAGGGAGTGTCCCTGGCAGGGTATACAGCTAGCCAATTTATGACAGGGAGTCCTGGCCTATTTTATTACATCACTCGTGTGTGCATCTCCAGTGAATCCACCTCTTCCTGGTCCCAGGTCTTAGGCGGTGGCAGTTTGTCAGCAGGGTGCCCCCTTGTACTAGAGTCACCAAGGACCTTGCCCTTATGTGGCCAAGCCACAGTGCCTCGCTTTCAGCATCCTGGGGATTTTTTCCTCAGCAGGAAGCTCTCTGGTTAATTTCTGTCCATCCTTTCACTTCCAGTTTGCAGCAGGAGTCCAGGAAATGGAGATATTGACCACATGCACTGGAAAAGCCCCAGGTTCCAGAAAGCCAGCGCTGCCGGCTGATGCCAATATTCCAAACAGGCCCTGAAAACAGTGAGCTTGAGGTTTTTGGAAAGGAGGGGAAGGAAAGCGAAGGCCTTTGACCCAGAGAGGCCTCTCAGGTGTTAGCTTCACTTACTCCCCATCAGCACTTGGTGAGCTTGGGCACCTGGCAGGTGGAATGAGCTACCACAGTGGGGAGATTCTTTTCTTCATGATGGGAATTATAACTTCCTATAGGGAAAATCAAGAGTTCTTATAGTTCCGGTTCTTCTGCTGCTTCAAACAAGGCATTCCCGTATGACATGGAAAAATAGCAACCACATTGGGGAACAGTTGAGAAACAGTAGGGGGAAAACTCACCCTGCGTCTCACCATCCTACCCCATCCCTGCCACCATCACTCATTCCTTGCCTGTGTTTCTCAGATTAAATTTATCATTAGAATGTATTGAGTTCATCTAAAACAAACTAGAAGTCACAGAAAAGGCATATCCGGAGCTCAGAGATTTTTACTGAGTGAACGAATGAAAAACAGGGGCAGGAAGGATTGAGCTTCAACATGGCAAAGGCACCTTCCTTTCAGGCTTCAGCCAGGTGAGTCTGGGTGATGACACTGAGACCTGACTCGGAGTCCCCACCTTGAGGAGTGCAAGACCTGAAAAGGAAAGGGGGGACCCTCAGTGAAAGTCCCCAGGGGAGAGGATAACAGAGGAGGGTTTGGAGGGATGATTAGGAGTTTGCCACACTGTAACCTCCAATCCTTGTTATTGCTCCCACATAATCTGGCTACACCTGCAACATGAACATGCAATCAGTTCAGTACTCATTGCTTGCCATTTGTGGAATCTTCTAGAGTCCCATTTACTTAGCATCACACACCTGATTGAATTTGCTTCACAAGATGCAGTCATTCCCTTACTGAGTTTATCAAACATTTAATGGAAGGACTTTGGGTACATGGACAGCAAAGCCCTGGGATGTGTGTGAATTGCCTTGGCTTGAGGCTGGTGCCTTGGTTGGCCCTCTTGGATATTCTGCCCCCAGGTGAAGGGGAATTCTCCAAAGGCAGCCCAGGTTGGTAGCTCTCTGCACAGGCATAGAGGTCAAGGTGCCTGGAGTCGTGGGCATCAGCTGAATGGATGAATGATGAATGATGCCAGCCAGAGAGCCTCTGAAGAACTGGCATAGGATAAGATAGTTGTGTTTCTATTCGTCCTCTTTGTATTCTGCTTATGCTACCAACCTGGGACACCAGGACACCAGTCACCTCCACATGACTCCAACCCAGGTGCCACTGGCTGTGACAGGGTTTGAGTCAGCAATGACTGTCCCCCTGAGCACTAGGCTTTGAGAACTTGGCTGGAATTAGGTGGCAAGGCCCTGGGTTCTAGTGTCAGCTCAACCACTGACTTACTGTGCCCTCAGGGAAACCAACCTCTCTCTGAGCTTGAATTTGTACAGGATTAAGAATGCCATTGATAAAAGTGAGTATATGAGATACAAGAAAGTGCTCTGAGCTATGGAGCAAAAAGACAACCAAACAGGAGTTTGGGATCTTTGCTGTGGGTCAAACAGTAAACAGCTACTTTTTTTGGTGACAGGGCTGGGGGTACTATAGATTGAGCCCCTGGTCTTTGCCTGAGCTACATCCCTAGCTCTTTTGTTTTACTTTTTAAAATTCTGAGACAGGATCTTATGAAGCTGGGCTGGGCTCGAACTTTCCTCCTGCCTCAGCCTCCCAAAGTGCTGGGATTACAAGCAGGAGCCACACACTTGGCTACCATTTACCTTTGACAAAGAGCACATGAGGAACATATCCCGCCTTCCAAAGTAGCCTTGCTCAGAGGAGTCAGCAATTCACCACCATCTCTTCTTTTAGATTCTCAATTCTCTTTCTCTCTCTTTGTAACATTGAATTAATTTTCTCATTGAAACAAAGTTCACATAATAAAATCTGCTGTGTCACTATTTTACAGTATATAATTCAGTGACTTTGGGCACACTATCATCTTCAATATCCATAAAAGGTAGGTTCCAGATGTCTACAGACACCAAAATCTGAGGATGTGCAAATCCCTTCTGTAAAATATACAGTATTTGCAGGTAATCTATACACATCTTTCCATTTAGATCATTTCTAGACTACTTATAGTACCAAATGCAGTGTGAATGCTATGTAAATTATTGTCATGCTGTAGTGTTTAGGTCATGATGACAAGGAGAAAGTACATGTTCAATACGGACACAATTTTTTAAAAATATTTTTGATCTATGCTTGATTGAATCTCATGGAGGCAGAACTTGTGGAGACAGAGGGCTGACTGCATTCAAACTGTTATGTAACCACCCCCACTCTTCCAATATTCTCTTCATTGTCCAATAGGAAGAAGAAGAAAAAAAGCAATACCAGATTTTGGTGGTGCAGAAAGTTTAGGCAACTCACCACAGTCACACAGCAGGCAGTTTATGAGTTGGGACAAACACTGGGCTTCTGATGCCCACACCAGAGCTCTCGCCTGAAGGACCTACAGCTGGCTCCTGTGCTGGAGGATGTCATGACTTTCCCTCTTGCAATTTCCTTCAGCTTCCTGGGCCTGCTTGAGCATCTTCTCCTTGGCTCTGCTCACCGAACAGGTGACATTCCTTGGCCTCTTGTGATGACAGATGTGGCAGGTGAATTCTGCTGGGGAGGAATCAAAGAGCACCTTGAAGGGCAGGTGGGGACAGGTGGTGGTGGAGGTTCCAAGGCTGCGGGGGAGAAATGCCCTCTCCCTCCACTACCAGGGTATTTCAGGCACTATGCCCACAGCAACCAACCTTAAAATCTCTCAGCCTCACCATCCTGGCCCAAACCTCCCTCCAATAAAGTCCAGCTATGAAGAAGGTTCAGCTCCAGCTGGCTCTAGAGGCTTAGCAACTTTCTGCAAAATCCCTTTTTTGCAAAAACAGCAATCAGAGCTAAGGCTTATGGAGCAAGGTGTTTAATTGCTTCTACTGTTTAATCCACAGAAGAGTCCTTTAGGGTGGGCATTATTACTAGCCCCATTTTTTAGATAGGGAAATTGAGTCTCAGCAAAGTGAAATGATTTAACAACACACACACAAGGATAAAACGCTGGAGTCCCAGCCCACAGGCTGGGGCTCTCCTCCCCCGATCTCCCCCAACTCCTTGGAGAGACAAGGGTGAGACAGAACCCCCAGAAGCCTGGCTCCCGGGCCCATGTTCCTGAATCACACCCACTGCCTTTCTTTGCATCTTTTCTCCCCGCACTCTCCTGTAGTAACAGTTCTCAGCGATAAGAATAATTATAACTGCCATGTATTGACCACTTGCTCGACAAACATAACTGGGCCCTGGGCTTTCCATTCATTTTCTAGTCCACCTTCCAGTCATACCATGCAGTAAGTATTGTTGTTACCCTGATTTCACAAATAAGGAAACTAAGACTCAGAAAGGTTGGGAAGCCAGCTGATGTCACTCAGCATGTAGGAGGCAAAACTTAGGTTTGACCCAGGGGTAAGATCTAGGGTCCTAATGAACCCCGGATGACCCCTGCCTTGTGTACCCATTTCACTGCGTGTACGAACACCCTGGGGGAAGTGGGAGGAATAGGAAACTGAGGCCAAGGTAAGATCTGAGGCTTACCTGTGGCTCACTCGTTCTCTCCTTGGTGCCAGGGCTTGGTGCCAGCTGGAGGAGAGGTACAGGCAGGCAGAGTTCCTGTCTCATGCCCTTGCCTCACAGACACACCCACAGAATCTTCTCATCAGCTCTCTAAGAGAACTACTCTTATCTTTAATTTTTAGAGGAAGAATCTGCAGCGCAGAGATGTGATGGGTCTTGCCTGGCTCACCCACGCAAGAGACATGCCTGAGCTGGAACTTGAACTCAGAACTGTCAGACTCCAAACGCCTGGTTTGTCCCATGCCATGAATTTATAGGGGCACCAGTTAGGCAAGACTCAGCCTAATGCTGGGTAAAGGGGCCATCTCAAAGATGTGGTCCTTGTCTTCGCTCCCAGAATATGCCCAGTGGTAACGGGAAGGAAAACACCCTTCACTCTGCCCTAGGCTCCACGAGGACAGGAAGACTGTGCCTGTCACTCACTCCTGTATTTCCACCGTGCACAATAGATTTGTGCACTTACTACGTGCATTACACATTACACAAGCTCATAACAACTTGTAAGGTAAATGTCATTGTCTCCTTTTTGTAGGTGGGGGACTGAGGCTCCGAGAGGCATCCACTGGCTCATCAACCTGCAGATCTAAACCTCTCAGCACAAAAGCCACACTGTCCTCCGTTCTTCCTTGAGGGCAGTGCTGGCTTTGCTGCTCAGGTGCTGGGGACATGTGGTCTTCAGGGCTGGGGTGCTCAGGAGGCTAAAAGCCTTCAGGTGACAGGAGCACTTAAAGGATAGAAAGATTAAGACAGGATAGAGGGACAGAAGAGCATCTCTCGGCCCAAGGGAAAAGCCTCAACATCATCGGTACTGCAAAAAAGATGACTAATATTCTCCCAAGTGCAGATTCCTTATCTCTCAGCCTCAAGGAATTTCTCACCCCCATCCAGGAAACTCCAGCTCATCATCTTAGTACCAGGTGCCCCAAAGGGGGAAAAAAAAGGAGCAACAGGGTCATGGGGCTGGAAGTTCGCAGGGAGATCATGCCACATGCCATCGGGCCAGCGAGGAAGATTCCAGAGTAGCTTGGGCTGGCTGTGGGAGCCAGAGGCCACAGGTGACTCTGTCAGGGCAGGTTGCTGTGGGATGACATTTCTGAAAGGTCTCCAACATTAGCAGTCACTATCATTGCCCTATGCGGGCAAGCTGAGAGGCCAGACTGGACTGTGCTGCAGTCCCAGCCCAGACAGATCCCAAACTGAACCAGTAAAGACTACTCCATAGGGTGTTCCTGGGGAGAAAAGGAAATCATGTCTGCAAAGCGCCAGGCACTCATTACATACCAGCTCCCTTCTCAGTAGATGGGGAAACCAAGGCCAGAGAGTAAATCATTCCCAATTCTCTTCACCTCCACCTTGGTGGTGGGCTCTGATACCACCACGCTTTTGAATAATGGTGGCTGCTCATATATTCTCCCCCATGAATGTCCTGTTACCTCATCATTTGCATACTGTAGGTGGTCAGTAGATGTTTTGATCAATGGTGTTCAGTGTAAGGTCCCTATCAGTGTGAACTTGGGCCTCTTTTCAGTCAGATGACTGGTTTCTCAAAGAATGGTCAGGGTACCTAAGACAAGCAAGAGAGGACTCCAGGTGGTACATAAAATAATATTTTTCATTTTAATAATTGGATTATTTATTGATGTGATTACTATGGCAATTGACTGATTTTCCACTTATAGAAAATGATTATTTTAGAAATATCTTTACTTACGTTTAAAAGGGTCAACTTAAGGGCAGGTGATATAGCTCAATGACACAAGCACCTGCCTGGCAAGTCAAGGTCCTGAGTTCGATTCCTGGTACCAAAAAAAGGGTCAATTTAAATAAAAATATTTAAACAAATATATGCATGTGTGACAAAAATTGTAAAGATGGGACACAAACAAAAGCATATTAGAGGACAGACACATCTATGCTTGTTCAGTGATCCATGGCAAGTCACAGGTCTTATCGGAGCTTCACTCTACTAACCTGTCAAAGGCAGGTGGTAGGAAGGGGTTTCTAAGGAGCCTCCCAGGTCTGATCCTTAATTTACTTAAGTCTCCAGCAGGTCCCCAGCCTGACAGCCCACGTCATTTGTCGGTTGGCCACTGGAGGGCATGAGTCACACAAATTCTGGCAGCTGGGAGCCCAGGTCTCCATCCTGTATGCACCACTTTGAACAACTTGGGATGACTGGAGCAGAGGGATTTCTGTTGGAAATGCCCAAATGATCACCCCAGGGTGCACAAACCAAGGAGGCCCCAGGAGATGGTCTGGCCTTGCTGACTGAGTCCTTGGCACGTGACTCATGTGGGTTGGCGTAGCTGGCACAGTGCAGGAAGACCTGGCCTGTCCGGCAGCTAGCAGTGGGGTTCCAGCCAGAAATTTTCTTTAAAGGCCCAATTCTTGTTGGCTCACTCCAAAACATACTCCCTCTCCTGACCTGCTGTGTGGCTTCCTGGATGCCTGCCATTCAAAGTTGAGGAATAATAGCTAGGGTGGACCTGGCCAGTCCTGCTGAGTGATGCTTCAGGGGGACAGGATTCAGGTGCGAGTGCTGTATCTGGAAGATGCAAGGGACAACAGTAGAGAAGGAAGAAATGACACAGGGAAGCACAGGCAACCACCAAGGGTGTGCTATAAGCCAACTGCCGAAATAGGCAACTGAGGCTCAATCCACTGGGAAATGTAGAATATGAGAACACAGGACTCAGAATGATGCCACCTGGGCTACTCAAACAAAAATTCCACAGTGTCACTCACTGACCGAGGCTGTTCCTAAGGACATCAAGTCCCCCAGGCCTGCTGTGGACAGACCAGCTTTCTTAATTCTGGAAAAGTTCTCTGGCCCAGTATGCAGGCTCTGACAGTTGGAATTCACAAGGTGCCTGGCATGAGGGTTATAAACAGACATCGCTGCTAGATTGGGATTGGGTGGGGGAATTGGGATTGGGATTAAGTCAAAAAGAAGTGTGGGGTCATTTTTTCCCGGACTTCTGCCTCTAAGAATGCTGTATGCTCATCCAACACATGTAAATGCCTCCCCCAGCTTAGCACCCACTCTGTGTCCTTTCCTAAACAGTTGTTTATCTTTGGCTGGGCTACAGAAGCCCTCTGGACCACCTTTTCCTCAGGTAGGGCCCTCCAAAGCACTCAAATATCTGGGCTTTCCAAGTTGCCCCACTTTATCCATGTCTTGTCTCTGGTGCTCTTGGAGAGACGCCTTCCTAACCAGAACAACCCCCTTCCAAAAAAAGAAAAATGCATCTCTGCTCCATTGTCCACTTTGTGCACAAATATTTGGTGCATCATTGTTTATCGGTGTCAAAAACAGACTCAATGATCAACATTCAAGAAAGGCACGTGGGTCTGGCTTTATGGTGAACTATTATGTAGTCAAAGAATATGTTAAGAATTTGTTATGACTAGGAATATTTATGATATCAATAGAGAAATATCAATTATAGTGCAAAATAATCCCTACCATTATGTGCAATTAAGACATAAGAAAAATTGATAGAAAGATACTAAAAATAGCAAATGTAGTGGAATTATAAGTGGTGTTTTTCTTCTTTACCCTTCTCTATATTGGCAATGTAGACATGTTTTAGATTTGTAATCAGAAATCAAAAAAAAATTACCTTTTAAAAATATTTGTCAGACATGTAATATACTTCTGGGTCACCTTCCCCAAAGGAGAGAGGTTTCGGGTCATGTTTTAATGGCAGGAGACAGAGAAAGGGCAGTGACCCAAGCTCCTGGCAGTCCTGCATTCATTTTACACACGTACTGTGAACATAAGCTGTGAATCACCAAGCCTGGTCCTGGCCACCCAGAGGCCAACAATGGCAGACAAGCTGACTCTCTTGTCCTCTGTGCTGTTAGCAGCAGAGATGACAGGGTAAGACCCACAGCCTGGCTGAAGTGGTGCCTGTGGGGTCAGAAGCTGACTCCTTGCAAACAGAGCAGAAACTAGGAGGACAGGCTGAGGATGTCAAAAGGCCAGCAAGGTTGGTAAGAGCAGAGCTGCTCTCTCTTGAAGCAGAGGTAGGGGTCTGGCTTGTGCAGGAAAGCGAGAGAGAATGGGGGAACGGGAGGAGGGGCCTGCTAGCAATCTGGGTGGAAGACCAGGGGTGCGCTCAAGGTAACAGTGGGGGCCACTTTTAGGCAGATCTGTGGTAAGTCTCAGGCCTGTCCCCTAAAATCATCTGTGGACCTTAAAGTAGTTTTAGTGTCTATCTTATTTCACTGATTATAGTGTTTCCAAGGTTCATCAATTTTGTGGCATGTTTAAGGACTTCTTGTTTTAAAATCTTTCATATATATATATATATATATTGCTTTTCCTTTCCTCTTTTCTCCATTCCCCCACCCGTTTCTCTTTCCTTTTAAAAGTACTTCATTCTTTGTTGACTGAATAATATTCCATTGTGTGGATAGACCACATTTTATGTAACCATTCCTCAGTTGATGGGCAAATGGGTTGTTTCCACTTTTTGACTATTGATGAATACTGCTGCTGTGAACCTCTGAGTACCGGGTCTTGTAGAATATGCATTTTCAATGCTCTTGGGTCTGTACCTAGGAGTGGAATTTCTGAGTGATAGGGAAACCTCACCTTCTACTTTTTTGAGGAACTTGCAGACTGTTTTTCAAAGTGGCTGCACCATTTTACATCTCCACTGGCAGAGTATGAAGGTTCTAGTTACTACACATCCTTGCCAACACTTATTATTGCTGTTGATGCTATTGCTTCCTAGTGGGTGTGAAGTAACCAATGGACTTTTGAGGGATGAGTGTGTGGTAAACCAGTGGTTGGATGGATCATTGTGTAGAAGTGGATGCCCGTCTCCTTGAGCCCGAGCTCTGCTACTGGTAAGAGAGTTTCTCCCCAAGGTTCTGAATCAAAAAGAGACACAGCAACCTGCAGCCTGGCCTGGACCAAGGTTCCAAATGCCCATCTGCCTCAGCCCTGGATGGCTCTAAAGCACACAGGTAGCCTGGACTCCTGTAGCTCATGGAAGGTTCCAGAGTAGACACTTCTGAGGCAGGACAAGCTCTGTAATTCCTCTGAGGCTGCTCCTCTTCAGTGAAATGTGAGGAAGCTGTGAGAATAAACAGATGCATGCACAGAAGGCACTTGGAGGATGGGAGTTTCCTTTTCCAATTTTTTTCACGGGGGCCCATCAGCATCCAGCATGAGAGCTGAACCTCTTGCGTGGTATTGAGCAGGTGGAGGACAGCATCTGATTAGTGTTTGTTCAAGTTCAAGGGCAGGGCCCCAGGCAGGCCTCATAAAAGGGATACCCAGATTCCAACACAGGTTGTTAACCTGGCCTCTGGGCACTCCCAGAGACTAATAGTCTGAATAAGCATACACAAACCAGCAGCTCCAAGCAATTTACTGGGTTTCTTTTTTGTAACCAGTTTCTGTCAGATATTGTAGCAGAGCTTTTGTGTAGGCAACCTATATGGAAGGCAATCGCTGTGGTATTGGCAGCTTGGAGATCTTGAACTGGCTTTACAGGCAGGAAAGGTGTACTATTTGATGCAGGTAGGGGTTGCTTGTGACAGAGCCCAATCATCAAAGGGGCATAATTGATAGCAAGCACTGGGGGTGTGTCCTTTGCCCATACTTCTGGAAATGAGTCTCTCAAAATTTCAGGCTTATGATTATTAGGCATTTTAGGCTGATGTAGGTGCTATTTTTCTCCTAGGGTACAGTCAAAGTCAATACAAAGTCTGGGACAGTGGATCTGAGTGTGAGGGAGGCTGGTCACATCCAAAGAGACATAGAGGGCACTCAGGCATGTACAAAAATTCATGCTTGATAAAGTGTCCATCAATCTCACAGGCTCTGCTTTGGCAGAATTTCTTTTCAGTGGGAGTGCCAGTGGGTAACTTCAGTAACTTTAGACATGTTTATTGGCTTCTTGCCTCCCTCTTTGAGGTCTGCCAGGAGAGCAGTGTGGTACTGATCCAGGGCTTCATGGCCCTCTGTCACATTACAGCTCCAGTTTGGGCACACTTGCGGGAGGACTGTGCTCACCCAAGCATCAGGATCAAGCACAGTGGCAGAAACTTTTGACTTTAGCCAGGCTTGGTCCCCATCTAAAATGTGGTGGCATTCTTCAGTATTAAACAGAGTCAGAAGGAGTTACCGACAGTAGAGCAGGAGGCTGTGGTGTGGGCAACAGAACTAGTGGTGGTGGAGTCGGGGCTGGCTGAGCAGCTTGGGGTTGAAGAGTGTAAGGAGGCTGCAGGTCAGTCTTGGGGTCCTTGGGCAGAACAGGATGTGAAGCTTTTCGGGCTGGGACTGAATCTGAGAGCCTCTCAGACAGCTTTGTGGGTTTGTTTTGATGACTAGGACGGCTTTCTTGTCATGTAGGGCACAGGTGCAGAGCCAAGGTGGGAGAGTTTTTAACCCCTTATGGCAACTGAGTCCAAGTGAGCTGGCCTTTATCTCAGGATTTCCCCAGTTAAAGAGGGTTATGGGAGCAACTCACAAGCAGAGGAAGGCATCTCTTAAATCTAGAACAGTCCCAAAAGGGTGCATAGGTCAGGAACGGCAGAGTGCAAGGTGATGGCTGTGTTGTTGACAGCACAAAGATCTTGCCCGAGGTAATTAACAGCCTATCAGGCTGATGTTAGTGCTTCTGTGACACCTGACAGCCACGGGGGTCGCAGTGAGGGGGCATGATTTGTGGAGAACCACGCAGGTGACTCTCCTTGAAAGAGGAGCAAGTGTCTCCATTTTGGCTGAGCCTGACCTTATTTCCATGTATTGATAAGTACAGAGCTGGCTAGGACCCTTTCCTTATCCCTTCAGTTGGCTTTAAGCAATGCATATAGGTCTAGTGCAGGTGCTGATGGTAGTCTTTGGAGAGGGCAGCGTGTTTCCTTGACACCCCCCCCCCGTTGTTCCCACGAGTGAACCAGGATGAGTCAGGATGTGTGAGCCAATGCCGCACACTGTCCGCTGGGACTGAGCCTCAAGATAGAGTCCATGACTTCCTGGGGCTTGAAAGATTACACATCAGAGCTGAAGTACCGACCCCAAAACATTAGATTCTATCTCAATTGTGTTATGCAGATTACTCTTTCTGCATATCCTTCTCTCTGCATTTGCAGAGGTGATTTCAGGCCTCCTACCTAGCTTAGCTCATGGCACTCACTTACTTCTCATGATTCTCACAGTCACTCATCCTCAATCCACCCCCTTCTTCATGAATGACTAAAACCCAGGTTCAGCCTTAGGTCAAGGCCTTTGTTCTGGATAGCCATCATCATGGCTAGGCTTAGGACCCCTTGGCACCCCATAACTACAAATATGCCTTAGTATCTTTATTCTTGCGATTGGTTGCACTGGAAGTGATAGATTGGAATTAATTCACTAGAATTCCAATAACTTTTCATGGGATTATAAATACAAACTTCCTGGGCTGCAATGAGGACTGGGAAGGGCTCTCTATAATGATTTATGGCCAGGCTCAGAGGCAAGTCTTTAGTTTATACCTCTGGGAGGAGAGATTTCAGAACGTCAGGATTATGGTTATCTGTCTCAGGCTGATGTGGGTGGAATCTTCCTCTTGGGGAACAGTCAAAGTTGAAAGTGCAGGGTTAAACAAAAGGGAGACTAATTGGCTTGGTGCTAAGGAAATGTCCTCCCAGGCTGAAAGCTTGTGTCTGGCAGAGGGGAGAAAGGCAAGAGTCCTAGTTGCCCCAGTGACGGTAACTTTTTGACAGAGGAAACTTTTGAAGGTAGAAACCTCTGTTTCATTGTCTACCAGGAAAGTGACAGGTTTGCCCCTGACTTTTGCAATGACCACAGGCCTTCAGGGGCCCAATTTGATGCAGCTCAGTCTGTCTTATCTATTCAAGCAGGGCACAACTCATTTGTCAGGGCTGATGGCCCAAATTTCCTCAGTCAAAATGTGGAACTCAGAAGGGATTGTTGACAGTCATCTCAGGTGGACATTAGATGACACCATCTGATCAGGATAGGCCCCCATGTCTGGCGGGGGGGAGGGCTCTGTGGCTGAATGCAGGTGATGAACTGGAACTGGTTCAATTGGTTGGAAGAAAACAAGTCAGGAATAGGGGATGCAACTGTGGTGGCCAATGGGGGTGGCCAGGTGGAATTCTCAGGAAAAAATGAACCTCTTTTTTTTTTTCTTTGAGATACAGAGAGCAGTTTCATTTCATTTTTAACTCTGTAAAAGCCCTTTATCCTGCAGTCAGGGACTGTGGGTTTTGACTAATTAATTACCATCTCTGGCTTCCTATGTGTGCATTGTGTACCCTCAAACAATGGTACAGCAGACAAAGGGTGGGTGCCTCTCATAGAGAAACCATTCAGATACCTGTCTGGCTGTGCCCCTCACGGGGATTTAGGCAAGACTTAGTAAGGAGGGTGCAAGGCCTCTGTTATGCCATACGTCAGTCACCACAGAACCACAGATGAAGGCCCAATCAGCCACCTTGTCCAGTGCTGCTCAGTCTTAGTGCACAGACTGAGCAGCCTATTGCTTACTCTGTCCATTCCACTCACTCACACTTCATTCAGCAGACACTCAGAGGTTAAACATTCCAACCTTCCTCCCCTTGACGGTGGCCTTAACTAACAAGAGTTGATCAAGCTCTTCTTCTGCTTGAACTGAGCAAGACTGACAGACTAACTGCGGTGCCCTCAGGGGCCTTACCAGAATCAGGTGGGCAGACAGACAGATTGTATCCTCCTCCTTTTGGAGTCTGATGTGACCCGCTCAAGCAGGGAGCCAGGAATCCTCCTCCAGACCTCTGAGGGGACTTGAGAAATCTCAAGGGCATACCTTCCTGTTGGGACCTGGAGAGGTCCTTGCTCTGTCTGCAAGGGCCATGACCAGTGACCAAAGAGGTCAGCATGGTCAGTCTTCCTGGACAACACACCTGAGGCAATGGCAAGCAAAAGCACCAAAATGACGCTCAGGATTTGGAGGCAGATCTATTTACTTAAACGGGCACTGACCAGGAACAATTCCAGAATATCAGGCCCTGATCTCTGGTGGTCTAGGGCTTATATGAGATAAGCAAGCAGGAAGTAGAGAGGCAGAATGCCTTGTGAATTGGGGGTTGGTTTATACACTATGCATCATAGTGACCTGCTATGCATCACAGTGACCAACTGTTTCTAAGAGACAGGAGCAACTGGATCTGGAACAGGAACTATTACCTGGGCAACTAACAAACTGAAGTATACTGGGGCGGGGAGCATTTTCTGTTACAGTAGAACTTGTTAGTTGGGCAGTTTAAAGGGCAAGAGGGCAAGAGGGACCTTTGAAATAAATTGGTGTGAGGTGGCAGATGTTTCTTGCTGGCTCTACCCATGCTTCAGGCTGAACTGAGAACCAAGTATCTATCTGGTTCGTGGAGAACCAGGGCTGTGGTTGTCACTAACTGCCTAGCAAAGCCATAGGCACCTGCAGAGCCAGGAACAATGATGAGATTCTCAGCGTGACTTCGTTTCCTTTATATAACATGGAGACCATCCTGCCATCCCTCACAGGACTGTTGTGTAAGAGGAGACCTCATGGATCTAGATTGAGAAGGAAAAGAGGGGAATATATGCCCTCCATTTTGCCCGAAGAGAAAATTAAAGCAGGCATAGAGTTGGGAGAGGTGGAGAAAAACCACAGAAACTCAAGCAGCCTTGTGACTATAAATCTGTCCCAGGTCCATGCTCCACCTGTAATTCCATAGTCACTGTTTTGTCTTTAGTACTTAACTCCCATCTGGAGGGACTCTTTCCAGAAGTGTCACCACATCTGCCCTGGTCCAGCTCACGTCTGAGAGGCTTCCAGGCCACAGTTGCCCTGCCACAAATCACATGATCTGACCAGCCAATTAGAGAGAATGGACACATAGGGCAGCCAGTGGCCTCAAGTGGTCTGGTAGACACTGTCCAGAGATTTGAATGGAGACAGACAGAAAAGCAGTGATTAATAATGGGGCTGGCATTCAAAGACCCACCCCCAAAAGAGAATGGGGAAGATTGGAGCCACCTAACTGAAGTCAGGAGCAAGCAGATGCCATGTGGGTTGGAGGCAGAGAACAGCTATGGGCCTGAGGAGGTACCCTCAGCCCAGAATGCTCCAGCTAGGCAGGGTGGACACAACCCAGGTGCTGAATCCCACTCTGGATTTCATTCTTTGGGGTCCCACTCTACAGGTCATGTGACCCTAGGCCACAGGTGCAGCTTCCTTATTGCCTACAGTATTTTGACAATAAACTGTCTGTTGTGAGGGGGTGTAACATTTTGCCAGTTCCCAAAAGGAACCTAACACAGGTGCTGCAACTTTATTGAGGAAGTCTCCCAGTTCATGACAAATGAAAGCAAATGGCTTACTGGGATTGAGGAAGGAGAGGTGCTTGGGCTATGATAAGGGTTGATCCAGGAAACTACATTGAATGCAAATTTGCAGGGCTTCTGAAAAAACAGGGAGCTTTGCTGAATTCCGTTGGAAACTCAGCCATTCACAGACAAACCATTCGCAGCCTTATACTGCCTTTCGCAAACAGCCAGCTTTGTGATCTGACAGTGAGTACGTCTATCCCACATGGAATACAGAGGCATGGGTTTTCTCATGTGTAGAGAGGGTCAAACCCCTCACACGAAGTCACACAGCACTTACAGCTTACCTGTCGGAAAGCTGATGCAGGAGGCTTAGTGCCTGCTCTGTTGTCCATGCACTAGGTCTGCAGATTGCGTGTGCTTGGCCTGTTGTAACTCAGGGCCAGGAGCTTGAGGGTCAGGAGTCTGGGAGGGTTCCAGGGGACCTAAAGCCTGAATAGGAGTTTGTTTTGTTTTAATTAGTATTGACTTTTGTTTTGGTGTAATTCTATGAGTTTGTACATTTGTGTAGATTCGAGTAACCACCACTATACTCAGGTTACAGAACAGTTCCATTGTCCCCCCAAAACTGTCTCATTCCCCTTGGTGGTCACACCCTACCCCCAGCCCCAACTCCTGGCAGCCACAGTTATATGCTTCATCCTTATAATTTTTCCTTCAGTAGATTGTTATATAAGTGAAATCATACAGTGTAACATTTGAGACCAACTCCTTCCACCCAGCACAGTGCCTTTGAGAGTCAGTCACATTGTTGGGTATGGAATTCATTTCATTTCACTGCTGAAAGGCATCTGCTGTACTGGATGAAGTTCAGTTTAGTTATTCATCCACTGACAGACATATGACTGACTTCCAGCTTGGGACACTTAGAAAGAGAGCTGCTAAACCTCCATGTACAGGTTTTTATGTGGATAGAAATTTTATTTCTCCAGGTTAAACCCCTAGGATTAGAATTATTGGCTCAGGTGTGTGAGCTAATGCCAAATTTTCCCAGAAAGGTTGCACCATGTCCCTTTTCTGGCAGCAATGAGTGAGAGGTGATAACCCTTGGTGTCACCAGGTGTTTGTCTGGCTATTCTGTAAGGTGTGTAGTTGTATCTCGTTGTGGTTCTGCATTTCTCTAAGGACAAATCATGTGTTAATTTGCCATCTGTCTATCTTCTTTGGTGATAGGTCAGTTTTAGTCTTTTGTTCATTGTTTAAATTTGTTGTTCATTTTCCATCTGTTGAGTCTTGCAGATTCTTTAAATAGTCTGGATACGAATCCTTTGTCAGATATATGGTTTGCAAATATCTTTTCCCAGGCTTTTTGTTTTTTGTATAAAGTGTCTCTTGTGAGAGAAAAGTATTAAATTTTAATGAGGAACAACTTGTCAATTTCATTTTTGTATGGCTCATTTAGCACGATTTTGTAGAACAAATTCACTGGCCTGACAAGGGGAGAAAGGGAGTTCTAGACAAAGGAAACAGCGTATGCAAAGGCCCAGAAGCAGAAAATCAGGCTGAGGTTGGAAATTGTAAGTGGTTCAGTACTGCTGAGGAGGAACATGTGTGTGTGTGAGTGTGTGTGCATGTGTGTGTGCGTGTGTGTGTGTGTGTGTGTGTGTGTGTGTAGGGCTGGGGAAAGGGAGGAAACTAGAGAAGGAACCAGATCACAAGCCTCTTGGAGGCTCTGCCAAGAGGTGTAGGCCTTTCATCTCATAGATGAAGGAACTACCAAAGGTCCTGGTAATTGCTTGCTTATATCTTGCTTAATTTTTTGTTATAAGAATTACATATAATTTATTATAGAAAAATATAGATTGACAAGAAGGTGATTAAAGACCTATATAATCCTACCACCTAAAGGGTAGTTACACTATTAACTTGGCTGATTCTTCTATTTATATACATACAGACATAATTTTTTTCACAAAAAAATGAAATCATTCCGGGGCTGGGGATTTAGCTCAGCGGCAAAAGCGCCTGCCTGGCAAGCGCAAGGTCGTGAGTTCGGTTCCCGGTACCGGAGAAAAACCAAAAAA